GCCATATCGTGTCCCTTTGCAATCGATTCAAGTTTCGAAAGTGAACGAAATTGTGGCACTGGATATTTTGGGTCCGTTTCCCGTCACCCCCCGAGGGCACAGATATTTGTTCGTCGGGGTGGAATACTTAACTCGTTGGCCGATGGCATGGCCGCTAGTAGACCAGTCAGCGACGTCGATCGCTGAGGCTTTCTTGAATGGATACGTATTAGATAAGGGGGCCCCGGAACATTTGCTTACTGACCAAGGCAGAAATTTTTCATCGAAATTGATTAAGGACGTGTGTGACTCGCTGGGGACCAAAAAGATTCGGACGTCCCCATACCACCCGCAGACTGACGGGATGGTCGAGCGGCTGCATAGGACGCTGACGTCCATGCTTTGTCACCAAGTAAACACCGCTCAAGATGATTTGGATCTGCATGTTGCAGCGACGCTGGCCGCGTATAGATTGGCCCCGCATGCCTCAACGGGGTACTCGCCATTTTTTCTGATGTATGGACGGGAACCGGAAGCGCCGGCTATTGTGAAATTGGGAATTCGAAAACGGGAGAAATCTACGACGGTGCCTGCTCCGATGCAGGTGGCTTTGGACCGTCTAAGGGAAGCCCGAGAGGCTGCATTGCAAAATACGGCACGACGACAAGCCGCTAACGAAAGGTTGTTCGGCAGGCAGCGGCCACGAGAGCTGTGGAGTGTTGGAGATAAAGCCTGGTTGCACTGCCCCATGGTGCCGGTGGGAACGTCCCCGAAATTTCACCGCCCCTGGCAGGGGCCCGTTGATATTGTGGAGGTTTTACGGGATCAGAGTGTGCGAATAAAATTCGGTCGTCGGACATGGTTTGTTCACCCGTCGCGCCTGAAGAAATTTGTGTTACCATATGATGCGTCATCCCCCATCCGAGAGCGGCCTGTATTGGATGTGTCCGACGAACCTGTGGGGAGGTCACAAGTGCGTGTTTCCCAGAGATCTGCCCCCCGTGTGCCTGCAAGATCGCCCTTTTTGGGCAGGGTTACCGACCGGACGCCGATTGAACGGCCACAGATCTGGACCAATGGCCGTCCCGACCGGGAACGACGGACAGCCCCACCAGCTGAGTATCGCTGGGACAGGGATGGGCGTAGGGTTCATTGGCAAGACGAGCGAGGACCTCCCTTACTACAGGGTATCCCGTGCAGGGGAGATGGACCGGCAGCGGGAACCCGTTCCAGGAGGAATACAATACATTGACTTTGGGGGTTGGGAATTGTGTATAAAGGTGTTGTGTGCGTGTCGTTGCGTGATTGTACAAAATGGTTGTATATTGCAAATGCGTTATGTATATATGTTGTCATCATTCCGTCCGCTTCACTCCACTACTGCAATTCAAGTATATCATAGCCGGGGACGGCTAGGCTCTTTCATCACGGGGGGGGGGGGGGGGGGGGGGTGATGTAGTGGAGTAGATAATGCGCATAGGAATTGGCCATATACAGTACATACAGACAGACAAGGAGAACGGGTCACATAAGGTCAAACAGGTGGTCGAGTCGCGAGTGGCGTAAACAACCACAAGTAATTAAGGGAGTCGTGGCACGAGGGCTGTGATTGGTCGAGAGGCTGTTAGCGTTAAGTGGTGGCGTCTGGATGTCTTATGAAGGGGACAGGTGCGGGCTGGCGGGAAACGGCCAGCGAGCCACGTGGCAATTAATTAAGGCTAATGCGAGAGGGGATAAAACGCAAGGTGGTTTGAACGGGGGGGGAGTGGCTGCTGGGGAGTTATTGCTGGAGAGTTGTTGCTGGGCAGTTGTTGGCGAGAGGTGAAGAGATACGAAGGAGACAGCTGGAAATGTTAGGGAAGAATAAATAGAGCCGGACCCCAAAGACAGTAAATAGCGATAGGGAGAGTCAGCGTTAGCGGAGATAGATAGAGTCACTGTGTGTGAATAGATGGAAGTCACTGCGTGTGAAGAGATAGCGGCGGTACTGTGTGTGAGGAGATAGAAGACGAACCCCTGTGTGTGGAGGAGATAGAAGACGAACCACTGTGTGTGGAAGGGAAGACACTGTGTGTGAAGAGATAGGCGAAGAAACACTGTGTGTGGAAGGGGATGCACGGACGATGCTGAAGTAAATCGGAGTGTCCGAGTTGGCGGAGCACGGAGAGAATTACTGTGTACGGAACGATGGAATAAAAGTGATGGCGGAAAAAGAGACGGTTGTTGTCCGAGTGAATTCACGACACTACAAAAGTAATGAGGGCTCGGGGTGAGCATCTACATCATTAGACCTCCTTTGCCAGTACCAAAATAACAAAACTGAAACCTTTTTACAAGGATTCATGTTTGCATTAACCACAATACCTGCAGGCAAAATGCAGAAAAAAGGGGAAAAACCCTATTATATTTTGGTACTGGCAAAGGAGGTCTAATGATGTAGATGCTCACCCCGAGCACTCGTTACTTTGATAGTGCATTGTATTTGAGCTGTACGCTTTTTGGCGTCATCTGGTCGAGCACCAATTGGTCGAGGTCTAATGATGTAGATGCTCACCCCGAGCCCTCATTACTTTGATAGTGCATTGTCTTTGAGCTGTACGCCTTTTGGCGTCATCTGGTCGAGCACCAATTGGGTCGAGGCTCAAAAGATAGCCGTCCCTTGGTGTGGACCAATCAGTTTCAAGGACAATGCATATATTATCATAGTGTTTTTTGTTTGCATTTTGACTGCAGGTATTGTGGTTAATGCAGACATGAATCCTCGTAAAAAGGTTTCAGTTTTGTTGCCAGAAAAAAAGGGGAAAAACCCTGATTTTAAGCTTTTGTGACTGCAGTAATTCATATTCTTAGCTCTTTCGGTAAAGTCACGTTGAAGGGAAACAATAAAATAATAAAATATATATAAAACAATAAAAATTCTCACGACGTTTCGACCATAACACAAACGGTCGTCATCAGGTATGTCGGTTTGCATAAATTTATTTATTTTTAAACGGTGTATTTATTTATTTATAATAAAAAACGTCAGTGCCACGCGCAGCGATTTAGCAGTTTATTTAGAAGGACTAGTCCATCTATGTTCTGAAAAGAGGAGGGGGGAGACGAAAAATTAATGTATGCTGTCTGAAAGCCACTGTAAGCGTGAACAATCAATTAAGACCTGACATGGTTTATCAAACCTTTCCAATGATTGCTAAGCCAGAATCCATCTTCTCGATTGAAATTGTCTGTGCTTGTATATGTGGATAGCCTCATGAACGAATCTCTCATGGTAGCCAGATGGCTTACAAAGAACCTCTGTCTGGGAAAAGTCAATGTCATGTGAGCCTACTGAATTATAACAATGATCTGCCACGGCCGAGGTGTTGGTCCTACCGTGTTTAAGGTCTTCTTTGTGTTCACGAATGCGGTCCGAGACATGGCGTTTGGTTTCTCCAATGTAACTACTACCACAGAGGCAACTTAGTTTGTAGACACCAGGGTACTGTATGTCCGGAATCACATCTTTTACAGACGGAACCAGATCACGGATTTTATGTAATGTGTTGAAACGGACCTGGATCTTGTATTTATTCAAGATTTTGGAGATCTTTTTTGTGATCCCCACAATGTAGGGTAAAGTGATGGTTTTGAAAGGCTCAAGAGGGTCCTTCTCCATGGTTTGAGTGATAGCTTTGCGGATTGTATAGTCGGAGTAACCATTAGCCTTAAGAGCTTGGTGTACGTGCTTGAGTTCACTGCCTATGTGTTCCTGGTCGGATATGCATTGGGCTCTATGATACAGAGTCTTGATGAGAGAGTTCTTCTGTGGATGGTGGTGGGAATCCGGTTTCAGATAAGCATCCGTATGGGTAGCTTTCCTGTAGACAGAGTGGCTCATTGAACCATCAGGCCTCTTTTTAATTAGGACATCCAAAAAAGGTAGCTTGCCATCTTTTTCGACTTCCATGGTAAATCTGATGGCTGAGTGTATGGAATTGATGTGGTCGAAGAATTGGTCTAGAGCAGGCTGGCCATGTGGCCAATGACAAAAGTGTCATCCACGTACCTCTTCCATAAGGTTTGGCGCAGAGTGGCAGTCTGGATGGCGTCAGTCTCAAATTTCTCCATGAAAATGTTAGCTATAACCGGAGATAGGGGGGAGCCCATTGGGGTGCCCTCAGTTTGTTTGTAGAAAGTTCCATTCCAAGTGAAGTATGTATTGGTTAAACAGTGTCTCACCAGGGGGGGGTACCTCAGTGTTTAGTCCTTGATGAACCAGTAGTTACATTGGAGAAACCAAACGCCATGTCTCGGACCGCATTCGTGAACACAAAGCAGACCTTAAACACGGTAGGACCAACACCTCGGCCGTGGCAGATCATTGTTATAATTCAGTAGGCTCACATGACATTGACTTTTCCCAGACAGAGGTTCTTTGTAAGCCATCTGGCTACCATGAGAGATTCGTTCATGAGGCTATCCACATATACAAGCACAGAGACAATTTCAACCAAGAAGATGGATTCTGGCTTAGCAATCATTGGAAAGATTTGATAAACCATTTCAGGTCTTAATTGATTGTTCACGCTTACAATGGCTTTCAGACAGCATACATAAATTTTTCGTCTCCCCCTCCTCTTTTCAGAACATAGATGGACTAGTCCTTCTAAATAAACTGTGAAATCGCTGTGCGCAGCGCTGACGTTTTTTATAAATACACCGTTTAAAAATAAATTTATGCAAACCGACACACCTGATGACGACCGTTTGTGTTATGGTCGAAACGTCGTGAGAATTTTTATTGTTTTATATATATTTTATTATTTTATTGTTTCCCTTCAACATGACTTTACCGAAAGAGCTAAGAATATGGGAAAAACCCTGTTATTATTAATAGATACCCCCATAGAATCTCTTAAAAAAACGTCTCCAGAACACAACCTTATAGCGATTAAACTAAACAGAATTTATACTGTGAAATATAATTTTCGTGTTGTTTTTTGGCATGTAGAATAGTGAAAAAGTACAAAACACCTATATTTTGGGTGATAAGGAAATTTGTAGATTTATTCACACTTGTTAAGTGCAATAACATGAATCTTCTCGTAAACGTTTGGGGTACTTCATTCACTGCTACATAGGGTGGTATGATCCACCTGGGAGAGTGGCTAAGCAGTTCTGTGCAGCGATTTGAAGGCTTCCCCTAAACCCAACAAGACCCGCTTGCTTTCCATCTCTCCAAGTGATGAGGGAAACACAATTAGTCTCAACGCCATATCCATTCGTGAATAGTGGCTGTTGGTATGCATTGCTAGGTTGGGTATTGTATGTTCTTGAAACAATGTGGCCATGTTTCCCACATATTAAAAAAAATGAAAATTCTACTCTCTGAAGTTCAAAAATGTTACAGCATGCCAAGCAATGCTGAGTTATTATTAGCTGCATATCCAAGTTGTGCAGAAATATCACATCAGGTAGTCCCAGTTTAGTACTGTATTGTTCAGTAGCTACTTTCGCATTACATTGTGCAATACAGAATTACTTTATGATTTTAGGTGGTTTCAGCGATGTTCATAACCAGTAATATTGCTTTACATATTATAAACATAAAATTAATAACATTACAAGCTGTACATGATTTTTAATGGAAATAATGGGGTTTTGTTTGGAAATTGGATACAACTGAGGGACACCGCCTCTGAATTATCCGGATTGTAAGGACATACAATCATACGGTCAATTAATATCCAATTTCCTTTGCCTTTCTCAATCGTGTCTTGACCATCTTAATACCACAACAACACATCTCTCTCAGACAGAAACAAATATCGCACGACACATTCACTCACATTAATAAACCTCGTATGTTTTTGCGGACGAAAAACAACAAAATCTGCAGTAAACAGATTCCAGTGACATTGAAAGGAAGCACAATAGTCAATACTGTTTCCAACGACTGCCACAATACATCTGATCTCCAAGGGGGTTAGGGAGGAGCCATGGCTCTGCCCTGCAGTGATTTACTCCTTGCGTGCCATCTTGGCCTCCTCCTTATCCCGCGGTTTTTCAGGAGCAACAACGTCATCATCGTCGTCGTCGTCTCGATCGTGCACGCTCTCCTCCTGCTTGAAAACAAACGGCTGGTCGTGGCCCATTAGGTGCGCAAAGTCCAGGTAGTCGCGGAACTGCGATGGGTCAACGAGGAAGGGCCGCCCGGCCGCGGTGAAGGTGGTGAACATGCGCGCCACGCCCGGCACGGCGACGGCATCGCGGTGGAAGGAGGTGTGGCGCTCGGTCAGAAACGCGGTTAGCGTGACGGCTGTGTACTCCTCGCACTCCGGGTTGTGGTAGAGGCGGCTAACGTAGGAGCGCGTGATAAAGTGCAGCGCTGCCGGAGTCATGAACGTGAAGATGAGCCATGCCGTGCCCAGCAACGCCTGCACGTGAAGTACAAAAAAGTTACGTGCATTGTCAAAAAATTTTCTGCAAGCCGAGGTGTGTGGCCATCTTTATAATACGCAATTCAAAGTGCATCAATGCGTAACCTTCAGATGTTCGTTGTAATCTAGCAAAAGTGTATCCAAAGGAGAGTTGGTAAATGTTATCTAGAGCTCATTATTGGTTACTTTGCAAAGAACATAAAAGCTATATATACCAATTATTTACAGTGATAAATATTTTGTCATGGAAAAACAATTGAAGATGATTGGTAAAAAACGCAAAGATGTGTTACATTGGAGCATGAATGAATGATTCATAAAAACGACGCTACACAGTTTTACTGGATTTTCTTAAAAGCTATGGCTGTTGCAGACATCGCCTCAGCAGAGGTTTGTAAAAAGGGTGGCAGACATACCTGGAAGGCAGTACCTGCTTCAGCGAGTCCAGTCTGAGCCATCAGAGTAGGGGCTATGGCCAGGCTCATCACACTGGATGAGTAAGATAGCACCTTCACTCCTACACATCCGACAGGCATCCATTATTACACAAAGACAAAGATCCCCCGTATAGCCCTTAACAGGCTGTCGGGGTGATGTTAGCGAGCACCTATGAAGGCAGACATGGCGCACGAGGGGTTGGGTAGCCAACACCATGCCCGGCCACCTTTGTCTCGTGAGTGGCGAAGTTTAAACACCGCACTCGGTACTCATTTAAAGCTGAGTCGACCTAGGAGAGGGTCAGGACAAGTTCAAGATAATAGTCACTGGTGTTGGCCATGAGCAGAAATTGAATGCGCTGCGCGCTAACCGTTACACTACCGCTCCCCACACACGTATACACTCTCCATGTAGTCCCACCAGACTTATAATGGGAATTAAGTTATCTCAGGAATGGGTTAGGTGTGTACTTTGTTGAGCTTTAAATTCAGAAATATATAGTTATTTCTTAATGGGGTGGAACAATGACACAGCGGTTAGCACATCACGCTGTAAATCCAGCAACCCGAGTTCAATTCCATCCATTGTTAAGAGTGCTCAGTGAGGGTTGGTGAAAAGTGAGTCAGCACCAGTTCAGAAAGATACTGCCACTGTGAGTCGTAACCCGAAAATCGAACTCGGATCGGTAATTTCAGAGAGCAGTATGCTACCAACTGCGCCACCACTCCACCCCACTCATTTCTTTAAAAATCCAATTCGATATTTTATAACATTTCAAATGAGTTGCGTATCACACTGACCAAAGAAATTTAGCGTGGTATTTTTTTGTTCCGGTGCTTGCGAACACTAAACTATTTTATTTTATCTTAACAGGTAAGGCCCACTCAGGGATATTGCTCTTTATCAGAAGCGACCTGGCCATCACAAATGATAGCCCAATTAAGTGGCCTATCATAATGTGGATATTTGTAGCAGCCAAATAATCTAAATGCACGTTGATTCGAAATGCAGAGAGAAAACCCGGCGGACCCGGAGGAAAAAAAAAATCCACACGATCACGGGGAGAACTTGCAAACTCCAAATATACAACAGGCGTCAGGGGTCTGGATTGAACCCACGAGACCTCCCGCATACCGGGCGTGGTAGTGAACATCTCGCCACCGTGACACCCAAAAGGACACAATAGAATGAGGACCATACCCTTCCGAAGAACAACCAGCAGCAACCACTACCCACCTCGGACTCTGCCGGTGAAGTTGCCGTCGTAGATGAGCCACCCTTGAGCAGAAGTGGCCGACCCACCGCTCACCTTGCTGCACAAGCCCCGTCTGGTCCACGGCCGCCAGCCTGACGCCTGCAGAGTAACCTGCGAGCATGCAGTAAGGACGACCATCGGTCACACAAGACTGTGAATGGTGAAGACATTGGCAAGAAAGTGCACGAAAAAAATAATTTTAATAAAACGGGCATCTACTGCAGCAAAAATTACCCAGCCAATGGTAATTCGGCACCAACTACAGAGTTGTTTACAATAGTATAAATACTGTGACAGTAGCAAAGATAATACGTCACATTCCTTAATAACCCTTGCTTTATCATTACAAAACATTAAACGAATACTGCAATAGGTGTTATTGGTCAACTGGTCATTTGTCAAATGTGCGCGTTACAAATTAAAGGCAATATTTACTAAAAGTGGTTAATCCACGGTACACTGTGTACCCAGAAAAAAATCATGACATTGCCAAAATCGCAGATTAAAATACACAAACTATATATTATGTTGCGGTGTGCCAATTAAAATACAAACGCGTGTCCCGTGAAACCAAAATCCGCACCGAAAACATAAGCAATCAAAATTACCAACAAGCACGCGATCGTGTAAAGCCCACGCCGACGTTACTGTTTATTAACATTACCACTGTGCTTATTACAAAAAAACGCACTTTGTCAAACAAACCACCCTCGGTGAAGGCGCAACAAGAAGAATAAGGAGAAGTTGAAGCGAGTCGGGGCGTCGATACCGCCACGGGCCTTCCGTCGTGCCCGGCGATGCGGCCCCGAGCCGGGCAGAGCTTCCATCCGAGGCCGCCCCACCCCGCGGGGAGCGCGCGCAACGGGCCCAGCGTCAGCGCTGCCAACATCGCCAAATGTCCACGACCTTTTTTTTGTTTTTTAATACACGATTCACACTTTTACAATGTCGCTTTATTTAAGGTATTCTCAGCATACAATTAGAGGGTCGGGCAACGTCCGTCGTTCCTTAAATTCGCGGCTCGGGTAAGGTTAGCCGAGGACACCGCTGGTTGAACTTCACAGCGCACGTGCTTGAAGCAGTGCAGCCCCCGCCTCTAACGTGGACTCCTATTTGCGGTTAATTATTAATTATATGTGTTGTCAGATCCGGCAGTGAGCCAATGGAATTGACAACAGAAACTAAACCGTTAACGTTGACACGAATGCATCCAGCATTGGATAGTGGCTGAGAATAATGAGCGGTGGTTCTCATCCAAGGGGACGTGGACCACTTTTGGTGGGGGGGGGGGGGTAACGTGGCAATGTCCCAGGAGGTTACGTGAAGTGATTTATAAACGTGTCAAATTATATCTTACTCGCAATAACAAACATAATACGCCACATTTTTTAAAATAACCATTACTTTGTAATTGCGTTCTACGAATGTGCCGGTGTAAAATAACTACGATAAAAATTCAAATCCATATGGCAATCTTAGGATTATATAAAGCACCTTTCTTAAACTCGTCGATCATAAACAATGCGGTTTCCAGGCGAGCGTGAAAACTTTACCTCACCTACACAAAGCCTCCGTTGTAATTTTTTACGCTTACAGTCACTTAGCTAGCTAGGATATATCTCACAAAATGGACAATTGCTTAAAATATCGCATACCGTGTCAACCCATACGGTTTAACCCGTATTCTTGTACCGGGAAATTTACTTTTTAGGTCCATACGGCGTACAGCCATTTCAATACGGGCAAAAAATATATGTTTGTGTTTCTCTCTTATGATGGGTCTTTGTAGGATGAGCGTTGAGATTGAGAAGGGCACGGGGTGACCAATAAGGTCTGAATTGGTCTGTAATAAGGTAGGCACTGATAAGGGTTTGGTGTTCATTATTCATGCTTTTTTTACCCAGAACCATTGTTGGGTCATGCAAGGGTGGCATGCAGTTCAAACTAGATTCAACAAGGCGGGGTAACAGAAGCCAACCACTGCTCTATAATATACATGTGTAGTGTCCTCCTTCCTCCCGGCGTGTGTGTGCGTGTGGTGTGCAGCGCACACACCACCAACTCTGGCCTCCTCTCTCACGACCACGCTGCCGTACAGCCCAGCGCAGACACGACCCTATCTGCGTTGCATCGACGGCGTCGACCGAGACAGCCAACTACTGTCCAGCCGCGCAATGATCGGTCGAAGGCGGCAGCGACGAAGGCGGTGACGACGACAGCGACGACGAGACGGGTCCACTCACTGAACCGGCAGCCCGAAGCTCTCGCTCTCCGCTGCTTTTATTCCCCTCGGCGCGGCTTGGCAACGCCCTCGCCGCGCCTCCCTTCTCGAACTCACCAGAGGGTTCCAGGGGCCTCCCTATAAGGTCTACCGTGACCCTTGCCCCAGTTCCTCCGCCCTGCCGGCACACACACCGTGTATATGCTCAACGGCGTGTGCGCTAAGTGTCCACCGCTGTTGCTGCTGCTGGACAGCAGTCGGCGCTGTGTCACTACACACGTGTAGTGACGGAGTTCGGATTCAGAAATACTGGAGGCACTTCTTTATTTAACAAGCACCATCGGGATATATATACACACCCTACATGGGTGCACACTATTATAATTATGACCGTCTATTGTCGGCGGTACCACTTAGTAAGAACAGTTGATAGGCTGCCTGACACCCCAGGATGGTGAAGACGTAGACAACGACGAGGAGATGGTGACGATGACGAGATGGTGACGACGATGGTGTTGAACAGCCATGACGGGGATTCCAGCAACAGCCCAAAGTTCCCGCTCAGGGCCCTCTCTGATGCTCCCAGCGTGGCCTTGCTCTGCCCCGGCCACGTCCCCTTTCTGGAACCGACTATCGGCTTACCGGGACTTCCCGATGGGCCCCTTTTATGAACTTTCCCCTAGATACTACCTTTCAGTAATGTTTAGCACTAAATAAACTCATTAGCATTTTAAATCTTTACTGCCACATTGCATTTATGGAAACTGGCGTGTCTCATTGGAACGGACAATTTTGTAGCGTATATAATGTTGTGCCCGTAAGCTCGGCAGTTTAACCCAGCATCGATTCAAGAAAGCCCGAGTCTGCTGATGAGACACTGGATGTTGAAACCGGTACCAGAGGTCAACTTGCATTCGAATCAAAAGCTGCGGCAAATTGCCCACCAACAACTCCCCCGGAACGAGGCCGTGCGGCTGATGGGGGTTTTGTGCGAAGGAGCCGTCCATAAATGACGTCACGCACCTAGGGGGGGGGGGTTGAGAAATGTGACGTCACATCAAAATGCGCAACTTTAAATAAATATAGACAACACGTTTTACTTAATTAAATAGACTTTTTAATACATGTTTTCTCCTACAACATCAGAGTGCAGCGTCACATTAAATACGCACTACAATGACAATAGTTTAAAGCGATTTGAGACATGTTTTATTTTGTGGGGGGGGCAGAGCTTTGTGGCGTCACATTTGAGGGGGGGGGGTCTGACTTTTTGTGACGCCGTGTGACGAGGGGGGGGGGGGTACAAAAATCGTCCCAAATCGCGTGACGTCATTTATGGACGGTCCCCAAATTAATTATACGATTGTTTATGTGGCGAGGAGACACTGCTGAACACGCAGTAGATTTTTGCGACAAATGTTATCCATAATAACATAATAAGGAAGGGGGGGGGGGGGGAGAATTTTTGCATTAGATCACGTAATCATTAAAATGTGTCGTTAAACCCGCCACCACCCGACACAGCCAACCAGTAAGGGTTGTCACGTAAACAGAACGTGGCCAATTCGTGACTAACTCTGGGACCAATTTTTGTTACTCTACTTTCGAACACAACATTTACAATCTGATTTGGCTGTCGCCTGATGTAGATAGTTGTAATTACTGGCGAAACGTCGTACACAGTTTGTAAATATTGTGAATTTGCTCTCCAACACACCGGTGTGCTGTATCAGTAACGAATTGGCCACGTTCTGTTTACGTGACAACCCTTACTAATTTGATTTGTCGGGGTGGTTACGGGTTTAACGACACGTGTGTGTATTTACGCGATCTAACACCAAAAAGCCTCTATTATGGAGAGACACCTGCTTATTTGTGGTACTTTGAAATTAATTGTTTTACATTCGTGAACCCGGAACCGAAAAGTCGCGGCGGAGTTTCATTTCTTTTTTCCACCCGGACCGGAACCCGCCCCCCATGCTGTGCGGACCCGGAGTGGGCGTACACTTTTTTTGGCGGGAAGTCGCGGCGTTCTTTTAAACGCGTCCGCACTGATCACTGGTGTAAGTGTTCAGTCTTAATTTTAATTTCGAGCACGGATTTTATTCGTCTGATTTCTTTTTTTAGACCTGACTTTTAGTCTGTAATTTTAAATCGTAGTGTTTTTTTTATTTTTATGGACAGGTACTTTGTGTACACTGTCGCGCTTTCGCCTGACGTGAGCGGCGATGTCGAACGTGAGTCTCGTCTGTCGTTTTATCATTTTTTGAGCGACGTGTGCACTGCAGTAGTACTTCAATATGCGGTGACATTTCACCATTCGCTGAGGTAAAGTTTAAAGGGATCTTGCCGATGGGTTTTGAAAGAAGAACTATCGTTCGCATTGAACGTTGTTGGACTTTAAACTTTGAGGGCAGACTGGCCGAACGAGCCTCTGTTGCTCATTCAAGCAGTCTCTTGTCAATTTACACGTAGTAGCCATGGCAATGTACGCTTATCACAGCCTACGTTGATCTGTATGTACTAGAATGTAGTGTATACTCCAATACGGCACGCATTGCACTTTAATGTAACGTTCCATTGTACATGGTGGTCCATATGCCTTGTGACCCATAATTAATTGACCCCTAAACACTTTTTTCCTTTGCATATTCATTTCTGTTTTAAATAAACCTTACTTAAAATTATTCACTGTTTGAGAATTCAATGGGGGGGGTGGGGACAAGACATCTGGACCACCTTGTACAGTCCGCAATGTAGTCTATAACAGGTCACACGCTGAAGGAACGTTGATTTGACTTTTGATATGTTATCCGCTTTTTTAATAGAATTCACAACGAAACCAGTGGTACGACACATTTTCACAAGCGCGTTCCATCATATGCCAGTTGGAATGTTGTAACTAAGTGCTTCTTTCGTTGCGAATGTTGGACGAATATCAAACGTCGAACCGACTTTCCCTCGGTTTACCACACTGCTGTTTGGAATACAACCTAATTTACAATTTATATTGCTGTACATGCCACATTACATTTTATAACACAGCCCATGTAACAATTTATAATGGAGCCCACTGTGCAGTCTATCATGCGTGTATAGTACTGTAGAACAATGTTAAGTCCGATCCATATTTATATTTAGGTTAAACCACAGTGATTATATTCTTAGCTCTTTCGGTAAAGTCACGTTGAAGGGAAACAATAAAACGTGACTTTACCGAAAGAGCTAAGAATATGAATTACTGCAGTCACGAAAGCTTTAAATCACATAGTGATTCGTTTTATGCCAACATTCTTGTCCTTAACTAATGTCCAATAATTTGGCATACAAATACTAAGTGGCCAAACCCCAAATCAAATGTTTTTTTTTACCTACGTGACTTTACCGAATAGAACCAAAGAGTATGGATCCTTGCAGTCACGAAAGCTTCAAATCTAGAATGTGTTAACCTACTGACTACGAAAACCTACGTTTTAATTTAATGTTAAGGCTATAACCATACAGCAACTCGCATTAAAGTCTATATTTTGTGCCAGAGTTACATTACGGAATAACCCTTTTGCATCAGCATACGTGCTCCAGGTAACTGCACTGTTCCCAGCTCCGCCTCGCGGTAAATCTTCTTGCTCATGGGTATGCAAACCTCGCTAAACTTCTCTGCTCTATCTGCTTTATTCAAGGCCAACCAGAGGAGTTCACCGCAGCTGAGGAGTTCTACGCACACACCAAGGAATGTTTTGTGGAGAGCGTCAACAATAACCGAGCACGTTGCCTTTCAGGTAACAGTCCAACGTGCAGTATGTGGAGTGGGTTTCTGATGAGATGATTAATTTGAGTGAGTACTATTTTTTTTAAACATCGCAGAGGATTAATAGAACACACCTTGAAAAAAGTACGTTACTGAATTTAAGAATTTTTATTTTAGTGAATTAATTTAGACCACAGACAATAAGAAAAAATGTTTTGTTTCAGTAACACAAATAATGCACCCAAAAAACAGGAAAACCTTAATATTACAATTTAGTGGCTAGCTCTTGACAAAGTTTGCATAATTGTGTAAAATCGCTAATCATCGTGTTGGAGCGATGTTGACTTGTTTTACATTAAGCTGTTCTTATTTTCTCACAGAATGCTCTCCACACACCGTTGCTCCTCCACGCTGGTATTTTGCTGTCCAAGTTGTGGGAAAACATTACCAGGTGCTGTAATGTTAAACATAAACAGCTATTTTATATCTATGGGACCTTTTTTGCCTGTATCCAAAATTATGGAAATTCGAATAGGTTTTACCCTTTCCATCTCTTTTACAGCTACACAAACCCAGGGTAGGCCTCTCCTGTGTGTTGAACTTCGTTCGCACCGTACGTAGCCAACTGTGCTAATTGGAGGTGCGGGGGAAGGATAACAAACTGAACACAAACAACGTATAAAAAAATTAGTTTTACATCTAGGTTTAAAAGCGCATTACTTCAGTGGTTTCCTACTTGGCATGTCTGAACAAGATTTGGTGTCTTTGTCAATAATAATACATACTTAAATGTACAAGTGTAATGACCCAGATGGCAAAGTACTCGGAGCCACTTTATTCACGCAGAACAATCTAGGTCCGGGCTTTGTGCTTGAAGTTGAAGCTGTACTTTCCCTCGAACGTGCCCTCCCCATTTCCTCTGCCTTTTTATATCGTTCCAGTCCCCTTTCTCGAATGTTTCCTCACTGTCCTTCCCCTCTAACGCATCCTAACTGTCGCCTCTGGGTTCCACTTTGTTTCCTGCCTATTCTCATTAAAACCCTTTTCTCCAATCACTTCAAAAGCCTGCCTCCCGAACAATCTCTGTGGAGGCCTCTTTCCGCCAATCGGAGACTTTGGTTTCTCTTCGAATAGCCGTTAGGCTGCACATTGGCTTTTGAGGTACGTTTTCGGTCATTACACATCAGTGCAATGTCAGTCGCATTTACAAATACAGGTGTAAAGGTGGAGCTGTGCAATTTCTTTCTCATGTCCCTGCTGATAGAAGCACCTCAGCTAGGAGAAGCTGTAGAGAGCTCCTCTAGTGGGTGTTTGGCATCTTTCTCCCATGCTGGCCAGAATGTCTTGGAAGACGTGGGAGCATCCATAAAAGAGAATCGTTAAATTGATTTTAATCCAGTTTTATATGATGTCCTCATTTTGATTTAACCTTCATATTATAAGTTAATTGCCATGCCACGTTGACGATGCATTTCACTCACTTGACATAATACCCCAGATGTGATAATCAGTGCTGTAACCAGGACCCATGAAATGATGATGTGGTTTTTTTTTCTCTATAAATCGCAGTTGCTGAGCACAGGCCCAAAGGCCCAAAACAACAAGTGGCCAGCAACAAACAGCACTTTTGAAGGTGCAATAATAAAAACGTAATACGTTTATTGAATTGAATAAGACCATAAGAATTTGGGAAAAGAAGCTATGGGAGGGAATTCCAAAGTCGTGCAGCACAGGGAAAGACACAGTCACAAAAGTTGTTTAAACCTGTGGTAAGGTGGTGGTTGAACGCAGGATGGGATGAGGTGAAATAGTCAGTCTGCTAGATTGATTTCTCAGCATGGGTGATTGAAGTTCACAGGAACAGTAACCATGTTAATAGAAATAGAGTAATAAGCAGGTGACTGACACGCCGGTGGTCGAGTTGCTGGAGTGTATCAGTTTGTGCTGGATCATCACTAAACCTGACTACTTTGCATTGAAATTGCCACACATTTCTCAGTGTATCTATCCACACGCTGCGCAGGTGTGCAGCCCCAAGTGGCTGGAGGTGGGCTCGGAGGCGGATGGAGCCTTGGCCGAGTGTTTGTCGGCTGTGCGTTCATATGAGGATGAGGTGGACAGCCAAGACAATGGCGAGGACAGGTGCCTCCGCTAAACCCTCTCCACTCTTTCAAAATCTATCTCCTCCAGTGTCATGTTGCTTATGAGATTTTAAAATGTGATGAATAATAGCACAAGTGTCCGTTTTGAGCTGGTGCTTGAGTACTGTTCAGCAATTGTTTTGTTAAATTGTCATTGATAATGGACTCCCAGGTCTCACTTGAGTTCTCGTCCATTCTGTGATGCAGCAGGTGTCACATTGGTGAAGCGGCCGAGTGTTTGCACCGTTTGGCAAACGATCTCCCACCGCCAGGTGATGAATCATGCAGACTTTCCTTCTATCATCCATGGGCCTAGACCAACAATTGCCTTTATCTTGTTGTAAAACAGACAGTTATCTATTTATCTTTTTATTATCTACAATTTCTGCTCCGACCCCACGATCATAATTCCTGCATGGTCTTAATTGTGCATTTGTTATTTTTCATTTCTATTTCCGTGGTGTGCGACAAGGCCGGGCGCTGTTGGACGTCACATGGGCCGTGTACCGCCTGCCCGCTCCTCTCGAGTTCCTCCCTCTGCTCGGAGCCCTGCGGCGCATGACAGAGTGGCATGCAGCACGGATCTCCGTTTTCTCGTCGGGCACCTTCACGTACGTCCGCCCCTCACTGTTATTTCCCTAATTACACTTTGCTGATGAAACAGTCTATACTTTACGGTAAATGTAACCACCTTCGGCAACGCAGATGCAGTAGTACCGAAGCAGCCAACATTACGTTTAATTGACTGTCAGTTTTTATTAGGTTAGAAGCATACTACGACCGGAGATCAGTTCCTGGCCACCACTAATATCAGGAGTGATATCTGAACCAGTCTTGGGCTCCCCCGTTTCACTAACCCACACCGAAGTGTGGTCCGACAATCTCCATGGTCGATACAGAGTGGTGAGGCCCTCATTGCAGAGTGGATTAAAGTACTCCACAAAAACATTTATGACGTTGCAATTTCACGTTGCAGTCTGCTTGATTTTGTTTCATATTACATAACTGGTTCCTGTAAATATTGCACCAAGAGAGGTGTGATATTTAATTCAATATGATTTTCATGATGTGGATGATGGTGAGCTGCCAAGTGTTTCTCTGCTCTTGCTCAAAAGACCATTGTAGCCACCCTTTCTTTAAATATTCTACATTCTCACTGTGGGAGACATTATTTACGTGGGTTTACCACCATTCACTTCCCACTTTGTTGACTCCGTATAGATGATGAGCTGATTCGCGCACAGATGCTGGATTTAAACGTGTGAGCTTTCGACTGTAGGCACCCGAATCACAGTGCTAGCGAGCAGAATCCATATTGTTCTCCTGCATGTTTTGTTGTTTTTGTGGCACAGGGTGAGCCCTGGCATTGTGAGCTTCCTACAGGCCCGCACGTGGGAGCTGGGTGACGGCGCGTTGTGTCCAGCGGACGTTGCAAGGACCGTGGATGTGCACATGGTGTGGCGGGGAGATGTACGCGTATTCAACAACGAGGTGAGCGTTGTCCCCGTGGCTTGAAAGTATAATGCAATGCAAAGCAAGGAACACAAATTATGCGTATGTATGGATTCCTCAACAAAATGTATTGTGGCATGGTGTGTGGTGAGTGGTAGCAGAGCGTGTGGCGAGTGATTAACTGGTAGGGGATGTATTGTGGCAAGGAGATGTATGTATGTTAAACTTCTTTCGCACCGTATGTAGCCAACCGTGCTAATCGGCTCCACGACTCAATGCACCGGAGTGTGGTGATGGATGGCAGGGTGTGTGTGTGTGGTCAGAGGCCACTGGCAGTAAAGCGTTGGGGTGAGTCGTTGCTGTGTTGGTGGAGAGTTATGTAGTGAGAGGTGGGTGGTGATTGGTAGCAGGGCGCGTGGTGAGGTGTTTGTTGAGGGGTAGTTGGGTGTGAGGGGGAGGGTGTGTGCTCGAGAAGCGGTAGGCTTCAGAGTGCAACTGAACGTTTTGGTTTATCTAAAAAAAAGTCAGATTTACTATTAATCTTTGAATTTGGATCCGTCAGGACCCCGAGTTAATGTACTTTGCAGGACAATAAAACATGCTGTTCTCTGTACACTGACTTCTGCGCAGGCACCCGGTTCGGACGTGATCTTCCCAGGTGTGAAGCTGAAGACGCTGCCCAGAGATTCTCTCTCGGAGGCCCTGGACCCACCTGGGAACTCGACAGCGGAGAAAACACCGCGGAGAAGGAACGTCAGAGGGTGGAGGAGGAACGCCGTTCCAGAGGTGCTTGTTGTAGTCAATGGGTCCAGACCAGTGGCTCGTGACATGTAACACCTTAGGTTTACAGTATTTTCCCCATAAACTTATATTGCTTTACTAAATGGAAAATTTCCACCAATATCAGTTGAGAGAGAAAATGTAACTAAAGGGAAACTAATTCTATACTGCAAATAGCATAAGGTTGCAGCTTTAGTAACCTATTATGCGTAACAGCAGATTTCATTTTTAAAAATTCGAAATTAGAAACACTAGGGGTGGCCAGACGGCGTGATGACACGACGTGACATCGCAACGTCTGTACACGTCACATTGCGCACCAGCTCACGGTAATTTCATTTTGTGGCCCACAGTGTTATTGCATAAAGCATATCAGGAGTGTTAAGTATACTTTATTTGTGTATTGAAAGTGGTGGGAGACATGTAGAGGCTATATAATTAGGTGTTGTGTTCTCTTTAATTTCTCCGCCATTTAAGGTGACGCAGTAGATATACAGAGCCCGGAGGCACATTTCTTGTGATATTGTTGCAAATTCTCAAAAGTGTTAAAAGATTTTGAAGCACCCTGTATATATCAAATTTTATTCTGTGAATCTGCACGTGCTTTGGACCGCGTGCTAGGTGCGCCTGTACTTTGGGCAGAGCCTCGACCTGGTCGGTTTGGTAGACGCAACGACCATCCCGGCTCACCTCATCTCGACCACTCGTCTTGAGCTGTATCCTACACCCAGCACGAGGGCCTCCGGTTGTGGTGTATGCGGCATGTTGTTATGAGCCTAGAAAAGTTGTTGTTTCTGACTCTTGCAGCTCAGTGTATGACCATGTGTTCGTATGGAGCCTGGAAGTTGATGTCACAGAATTACTTCTGAGGTCGCTCCAATTGCCTCTTAACCACCCTAAATGGTGCTCTTTCCCACATGCCCTGCATGTAATGTTGTTTGGATGATACATACCTCAGGTATGATGCATAACTCAGGCATGTATCTACAAAAATAAGATCTATGTTTGTTTGTGTTTTGCATTGGTTCCATCTTTTGAAAGTTCTTTGACTGAGTGCTGTGGACAGTGTAGCGGAGGATGAGACTGGTTCCGCTGTGCGATTCCTGGAAAAGCTTTCCGCCTTAAAGGGGACGGTACGAGATCGGCTACACACTAGGGCATTCTGGTTATAATTTTTTGATTCACGCTGCAGACCCTAAGCTTCAAGTAATCATGAAAGCAGATCCTTTGGTATATATTTTACGAAGTGTAATATATTGCATACTTTCCTCCTTGCCAACTTTCTGGTTGCGATAATATGCCTGTAAATATTCCACGGTTCAAGTCCCCCCTAGAGTCTCTATTTGTTGCCCCACACACTCTGCTTCTCACCTGTGGTGGGAGGTCAGAATATAACAAGGCACTTACAGACAACACAGATCTCGGATACAAAGACACGCACACACAGACACGTTTATCCAGACGCAGCAACGGCAACAGCCTCTGTCCACCGCTCAATGATGGTGACATCTCCACAGTGCAGTGTACGTACTCTTTGAGGTCATACGAAGTGTTGAAGGCTCACTGTCAAGAGGTCACAGGAGAGACCCAGCTGTTATGTGTTACAGACTGAGATGACTGGCACATGAACCACCTGTGCTCCTCACTGTGCCAGCTTGCTTTGTTTATACCAAAACACTACACACATTGAAGCGCGCACATTGCAATTAATTGTTTTCATCGAGGAAATAATATACCCGTGTTAACCTGTAGGTTGATGCAGAAAAAAAAACACAAAACAGATCATTTGAGACAGATGATGCAAACGAGACGTAAAATAACAAATTCTTGACTTTTGTCTTCACCCAGACTTTTCACAATTCAGCAAAGAATGGAGGTGATTTACTAATAACCTCTACTCCCCTTGCAGGTGGGAGCCTTGTTTCGCCTGGGCTGCACCATCACTGGCACTGCGGCCCCACCACCCAGTGAGCGCAGCTACAGCAAGTGGAAGGAGCTGAAAGCTAAGAAGTCGGATCACTTTTCCGGCAAGTTGCCCTCTACAAAAAGAGCCCAGGATGGGGTGTCTGGGTGGCTCAGAGCGCTGAGCTGACACAGCTGCGATCTTGGGTTTGAATCCCAGCAGCCCACCTATGGTTAACCAGGTGTTGAAATGTAGCAAGTTGATAGTCTCAGCTCGGTCACTGATGATTGCACAAACAAACCATTGAAATAAAATTTGGTTCTGCACTTTATTTCGTTCATTTCAGCTCTTGAGACTCAAAATATCTGTTAACTGTCATGTGGTGAACATTATTCTAAGCGGCAGAATGGGTTTGGAAAGCATTGCTCCCTACTGTGTGAACCAGATGTCGGTTGAAGGGATTTCAGTAGTCGCTCTCTGATATCTGCTTTTTTTGGGCCATTCTTTAATACGAGGGATACGTGGCTCTTGAAGAAATCTGATTGGATACTTTGTCTCATGACAATACCAACGGTCTAATCATCGATACATTTGTAGGGAAAGACAACACTTTTTTAAAAGCCCATGATAAATTCATAATAGAGGTTTTTGGGTTAGATCGCGTTGTTTATAAATGTGTCGTAACCCTCCACCACCCGACACGGCCAAACAGTAAAAAAATGTGTCACGTTTACAAAAGACAAATAGTTCACTACTTTAGCCCACCGGTGTGACACATTTTTTACTGTTTGGCCGTGTCGGGTGGTGGAGGGTAACGACATATTTATAAATAACGCGATCTAACCAAAAAACCTTTGTTATGAATAATATTGGTCGCGAAAGCCTACGTGTTAAGTCCATAAAAAATGTTAGTGTTCATGCAGCTTCCCCTTAAAGAAGTAACCATTAGCTGAAGCGCTTGCTTCTTGTACATTATTCTCACTTGTCATCGTTATCATCAGACGAAAGCTGTCCTCTGCTGTGTGAATACTTTCTCACATCATCACCATCCTTCACAGTCCTCTGATACCCTCACTCATGTTAGCTGATCTCATCCCTCCATCTCTGAAATACTGAAACTGTGTGTTCCAGACACTTGCGTCGTCCCACCTAAGTTAAAAGTTTTGCGCATGAGAAAACACTAAATTGTAGTCAAACATGTTGCTGTTGTGCCCTAGTGACATCGTAACATCACTAAAGTATTGTAACGGTGTTCCATGCAGTATATTTTTTTAATTAAGCTTGAGTCTCATGTGGGCCCACCTAGGACACACCCTAGATGTGATAAGTGTAATTTCCTTTTTAGTTTTTTGGTTATGTATTACTTATCTCCCCATGCTGCACCATCTCTAATGATCTTGCGATGTATTAATCAATGTAGATTCTACACACGAGCAGATTTCACCACTCCATCTCAGTAGTGGACATCCTTTTGTATGCGTTCCATTCCTTGACTGCCACTCCATTATTACTATAAAGTATTAAAGCTTTCGTGACTGCATAAAATTACTCTGGTTTTTTCGGTAAAGTCACATATGTAGAAATACAATAAAATTATATTAAAACAAAAAACAATCACGACGTTTCGATCACAACGCAAGCGATCAGGTGTCAAGAACAAATCACGGAGGTAATTACAACAAAAAGATGAGAGACGAGAATTCTAACCTGAAAAAACATTATGTGAAGCACATCCAGTCAGGCCAACAACACAGTTAGACACTTCCTGGCAGACCACGAATTTCAGAAGAGTGTTAAATTCGTGTTCAACCTTTAGATTGCACATACCAGCATGGATAGAATGAAAAATACGAGGTACACGGTCGGTAGAAATACATATACAAGTCCACCAAGAGGTAAGGAGGGAGGAAAGACGGACAGGGAGGCAGAGAGAGAGAGAGAGAGGGGTGGGGGGCCGGAGGGATGAACAGATGCTTAAATAGGAAATACGGTTGGAGGGGGGGAGGGGCCAGAGCGAGAGCGGCAGCTCAAACACGCACATCTTACACATACAAAACGGCAGCTCAAAAAAGGACCACCTCTTGTAAATACAAGACGGTAGCTCAAAAAATGACCACCTCTTGTAAATACAAAACGGCAGCTCAAAAAGGGCACATCTTACACATAATTACAACGGTAACTTCCCCGTAGAAGTGTGATAATAAAGTATTAAAGCTTTCGTGACTGCATAAAATTACTCATTGTTTTTTTCGGTAAAGTCACGTATGAAGAAATACAATAAAATTATATTAAAACAAAAAACAATCACGACGTTCCATTATTATTCTTGACCATTGGTCGTCATCCCTTCAAGCGACTTGTTCTGCTGAAGCACCACAATGGCAAAATGTTAACTTCCTCGTCTGGTATGCAGGAAGTTGTGGGTTCAATCCCACCCCTGACACCTATATATGTGGAGTTTGCTTGTTCTCCCCGTCATTGCGTGGCTTTTTCTCTGGATCCTCCAGTTTTTCCCTCCACATTTAGAAACATGCGTTTGGAGCATTTATTTGACTGCTGTAAATGTCCACATGATAAGCCACTTTGTTGAGCTATCATTTGTGGCCAAGTCGCTTCTAAAAGAAAGCTATATTGCTCAGTGGATCTTACCTGGTAAAATATAAAAAAAATAGTTAAAATGTCATCTAGCAGTGGAGTTATGGCTGGTGATGATAACTTTAGTCAGCTATTGGTGATATGTATTGTGTTTTCCCGTTGCTCCCCACCAGTGCCTGATGTCAAAATCAAAGGCGAAAGCAGCAGCCGCTTCCTGTTCGTCCAGGGGGGCGGCCAAAATGGCTGCCGCGCAACGCTGATACGGACGGCCGACGGGATAAACGGAGCGGCAGCAGCAACCATCGCGCAACAGCTGATCAGCACAAGCCACAAACTCCATTGCACCGGTAATGAGTGAGCCTGTTGCACTTAAGCAGTTGAAAACTTTGATAAAATGTTTAATAATTATTTCACAAATAATATTTCACAACCCTTTGTCAATTCACTGCTGGGTGAAGGACTCCCCATGCCATGGGGGTTGTTTGACCACACTTTCCTGAGCTGGTCAGTGGGGGTTGGTGAAAGGGGAGGCCCAAGACCGGTTCACATACCACTCGGCACTGCTGTTAGCCATGCCAAAAAATCAAACTCGGTTTACCGGACTCATAACGGAGTGTGCTAACAACTGCGCCTACGTCCCACCACAAAATATATTTTATAAAGCACTAGCGGGAAGTTCCCGGCGTTTCCCGGGTTTTAAAAATAATTAACAACTACTCTTAAAAATCTAACAGCAGTGCGTACTGACTGTGATGGTACCTGCTATGATTACAGCAATGCATACTGTGGTGGTACCTGCTATGATTACAGCAGTGCATACCGACTGGTGGTACCTGCTATCACTACAGTAGTACATGTTGACGCTATAGCAGTATTTATCGACTGTATAGCACAAAGTACTCACCTGACAGAGTGGCGTGGTGAGGCCTAGTCCCGTGCTGAGCCTCCGGCCTCGCCGATATTGTCCAGCTGGCCGAGGTGGCACCTTGGCAGGCTGGGGCTGGGCTGCTACCCCTGACCCCCCCCCCCCCCCCAGCCACAATCTCCCCGGCCGCTCTGCAGTAATATCTATGGCCTATAGTGGTAGCATCTAGCGACTGTATAGTAGTAATAACTGCACGCATCGGGGTGGGGGGGACATCACACAGTGAAGAATTGACGTCAACGTTTAGTGTATTTTTATAGCATTTTTAACGCAAAAGAAAATGCCCCCCTCACTCCCACCCAAGGCGTGCGACTTGGCATGGCCCCCCCCCCCCCCCCACCAAAGGCGCGAGAGTTGGTATGGCCGCGCACGCGTAATAAATAAATAAATAAATGGGGAGCGCACAGAATTGCACTAAACCGCTAATTAAACGAATTTAAAGTTGACGAATGTGAAAAAGGAATAGCGCTTGCTCACCACGGGACTTACGGCTTGGTACCTGGCTATTTTATTTTTACGTAAACCCCACCGTTGGAGAGTCAAGCGCGCGACCACACAAACCCACACACAATTTTAGACTTTTTTATATATATAGATAGATTTAAAATCTGAATCACTTTAAAGTCTGTGCAGAAGTTGTTCGTGTATTTGGCAAGTAACAATGGATTGATTAATCAATTTAAGATCAGCTATTGCACTCATTATACATGTGTAGTGTCCTCCTCGGTGTGTGTGTGTCGCGCACACTCGGTCGGAGACGAGGTAGTTGCAGGAGGCACCTTCTCTCTCTTTATTTTCGTTACACCACTCCGGCCGTTCACACTCGCTCGGATCGCCTCCTCTCTCGATGACGTTGCCGTACAGCCCGGCCTAGACACAACCTTGACCACGTTGCACTGACGGCGTCGACCGAGACGGCCAACTGCTGTCCGGCCGTGCAGTGATCGGGCGAAGGCGGCAGCGACGATGAGACGAGTCCACTCCCAGAACCAGCAGCCCGGAGCTCCCGCTCTCCGCTGCTTTTTTTCTACTCGGCGCGGCCTGGCTCTGCCCTGGCCGTGCCTCCCTTCGCGAACCCACTAGCGGGTTCCAGGGGCCTCCCGATGAGGTCTTCCATGACCCTTGCCCCAGTTCCTCTGCCCTGTCGGCACACACACCCGTGTATATACTCGATGGCGTGTGCGCTAAGTGCCCACCGCAGTTGCCGCTGCTGGACAGCAGTCGTCGCTGTGTCACTACACATGCGTTGTGCATGTGAGAATATGTAACTGGTTCGTGCAAACTCTAATCGATGATTTTAGCTCAAATAACAACTGCAAAAAGTGACAATTCATCAAATCATCCAGTTTGCGTTTGCTGTGCATTGTAACCATTGTGGATGTGGAGAGAGGGGTGGGGGGGCATGATGATTAACTAGCGGTGGTGGCGTGAGACCATTGGGAAATTATGAAGTAGGGTTAGGATGGTGGGGGGGGGAAGGTGTGGTACTATTGGCATGACTTATATGCACACGGAATGCATGGGAATTGATCAGTTTGACCATGCATGGTATGCTGTGTGACATAGCTGGCAAAGCAAAAACACATGGCACGAAGTCTGGAGAGCAAATCAGCGTGAACGCTAAAGCTTCAAAATGTTAAGCATTACCGAGGTGGGGGACTGGTGGCACATTATTTAGCACACTGCCTTATGAATCCGGTGACCTACGTTTGATTCCCCGCCGTGGATAATTTCACTGGCGAGGGGTATCTGAGCTGATCTAGGCCACCCCCTAAGCCCTTCACAAGCTTGCGCGGACTGGCGTGGTGAAGTATAGACGATCAACCTTCATGAACGAAATGGTGTGGGGAGGGAGGCCTTCATCCAGCAGTAACATGACAAAGCACTATACGTTTTTGTAAATTTTAGTAGAGTTAACAAATGAGTATGGTATTAGTGAGTTTATTCTCATTATGTAAATGTGCATATAAAAAAATGTATTTTTCATTGCCGATAAAATATTTTTTCCTTGATTGTCGTAAGTGAACAAAGGAGCAGATATGGTTTCTAACAAACGTGTGCCTCCGATAGGTTTTGACGCCATGGGTTTTCTGGGTCACCTGCCTGTTTACCGCGGCAGTGAACTGGTCGCCGTGGAGATGAGTGTGGCCCATCTGCAGATGCTGATGCTGCAGGAGTGGAATGGTGAGCAACACCTCGCGCTCCTTCCACACCCCTCTCCAAAAACTTCTTCACAAAAACAAAAAGACAAATGGATAAAATTAACATCGTTCCAGGTATTTTTTTACGTGTAACAGAGAAATGAAATGCTAGAGAATAAAAGTCGCCTAAAAAAATGCCAATGGATAAGTCAACATCATACTTGATGTACTGCCTTCTACCTGCTCGTACTACCTACTACCAACTCAGTCGTGACCTATTATTGTGGTTCTCACACTGCTATGAACCTGGTTACCTCAGTGCAATTCCTGAACACAGCTGATATAAATGACAAGTGATATCTGAACAGGTCCTGTACATCCCCCTTCACGAACCCACATTTATCAGTGTGATGAAGTATGTTCAAACATCCCCACACGACCGACATAGCACGGAAGCCTTCATCCAGTAGTGGTTTGACAAGTTCGCTCCATTGTCTTGTTATTATCATTCCTGTTGTACCAAAATCACGAGCGAGCTTCCTTTTGGCCGAACGTGTGAACGGGCGGGTGATTGATAGTAAAGTCCACCATTGGTGGTGCCGTAGGCCGGCGTGAGAAGTGTGGTTGCGGAGCGGAGGAGGCGACGAGGAAGGCGGACGACGACCTGGCGGGCGTTTTACGCGAGTGCCGCACGCGCTGCGTGGAGCGAGCAGAGCGGGAGCTGCCCCGGGGAGCCACTGCTCTCGCCCACGTCGCCCGGCGCCCGTGCCCCTCGCTCACCCAACTGGTTGCAGCACGTGAGTCTCCTCCCTCCCCCCGACTCACAACCCATCCACGCCACCCGCTACGGAGAGAGCGGTGAGAGCGACGGTGATGGGTGACGGCTGCGGTGCCCATGAGGTTGTAGGAAAGATAGCAAGGTTGGCTATGTATGGTGAAAAATAAGTTCAACATGCATACATATGTAATGACATAGTGACATCTACTGGTTAGAAAAGGGAAGCACGGGCAAAGGCTCCACTATAAACATCATCCAATCCCAAAGGGGGAGGTATCTGGGCCAAAGGTAAAGAGCGGGGATGGCCGAGATACTCCGGGAACCGGCTAGAAGGTTCCACGAGTGGGCGTGGCCGGAGGCGGAGCCTAGCCGCGCCTGCGGAAATATAAGCGGAGGAGGACTCATGGTCGGTGTGGGGAGCCTTGGGTCCAGACTGCGTCGCTGCTCGCCGTCATCTCTCTCCGTCGTTCGGCCACGTGGCAGATCTGCGAAGTCCCACCACCCTCGCCGGCGCGCCGTCAACCAGCGGTGAGGCCGGGAGTGGGCAGACGGAACCACGCTGTGGGATCGACCACGTGTAGCCTGTAGGGCTGCTAATATCTACGTGTGTACTCGGAGAAGGAAGAGGATTAGGTTTGCCTGTGGTGTGCCCGAATGTGAATAGAGAAGAGAGTACCCTCTACACAACGTGTCGCGGAAGTCGCTCATTACACATACATAACGACGTTGACAGGTGTGTTAGCATTATTGCTATGGTTGGTGTTGTCGCGTTAACCGAATTGGTGCCATCGTTTTCGTAACAAACTCTCAGTCGTTGTAACTACCTTATGGACGCTATCACATTCATTGCTGCCACCGCATGAACCCTCTCACCATTGTCGTAATATTCATAATAATACAATCGTGGCACCCAGATTAAATTCTTAGCAACTATCCTGACAAAGTTTAAAATACAGTAGCCATGATTAGGATGACAGTAGAGTTAGTGAGATGAACACGAGACAGCAAGGGTCTTAATTATATGATAACGATGATGGCGAGCGTGTCTAAAATATGGTAGTGGTCAATATGATTGTGTTAAAACCAGGTTTAAAAGATGACATCCATGATGCTGACATTGTATGTAGTTAACTTTGATGTTTACACTTAACCAAGCTATCACTCACAATGTTAACAATGGCACTGTATAACCTAGCCATCAGCCTGTCTGCCACTTGGTCTCAACACCTAAAGTTCGAGGTTCCATTTCCATGAAAGCCGTGGAATATTTTTTGTTACGATGAAAAACGAATATTGATCATGGTGTCCTGAACTCTTGAACCGTAACCTTTGTTCCCGGGCCCAAACCACAGGTCGGAGGGCATCAACGCAGCTGGAAATCCGGGCACTGCGGCATCGCGAAGCAGCCGAGAGCTGGGCACAGGGTCGCAGGTGAGCGGAGTGAGTGAGTCTATTTATGTGAGCAGAGTGAGTGAATCAAGTCAGGTAAGCGTAGTGAGTCAGTTTTTTCAGATGAGCGGTGTGAGTAAGTTAATTTGTCCCCACACGTGCACACTGCATAATTCATTTCAGTGTGCATTAACAATCCATGTGTCCACACGTGTCTACACTGTATGTGTGTAATAATGTATATTTATCCAGGAAAGCCTTTCTGTGTCTCGAGACGTTTTTTTTAGGAGAGCCATGCTATTGGGTTGCTTGATCCTACAAGCACCGAACTCACTAACGCTCAGCCACGCCACTGACACGTGTCCGTGTTTGTCTCTTGTCCACATTGAGCAGCGCCGAGCGTCAACCGTGGGCGGCAGCCAAGGGGCCCGTCCGCGGGACCCGTCCCTCGGGCCCCTCCGGGCCCCTCTCGGCACGGGAGCTGCTGCTTCTCTTCAACAAGGACGGCACGGCCGCCGCGGGACCCACAGCCGCCACCCTGCCGGCACCCGTCCGGTAAGAGGACACGTCAGGCAAACTGTGAAGGTTATTATAGTCGGGTTCCCATTGCCTTTTGAGCAAGAGAAGGCTTGTTGAAGGCATGGAAGTTCATCCAAAGGACCACGTCAGAGCACTGAGTCCAAATCAGATAAATAAATGTTGACACTATCGCAAAGCCTTGCTAGGGCCTTGCCAGCCTAGCATCGCTTTAGAAGCATCAGCTTTTTTAGCCAAGCCGTGCCGCTGACATCACACAGAACGAACATGTCATTAGCCTTGGCCCTGCTTGACCCTGAGGCAGATTCGGATTTCTTTTGAGACCAAGATATCATGGTTTGGTTCCAGCGCGGTACTGCAAATATCCAGTGGAAAACCACCCATTCTGTGAGGGCTCCATGCTGACTCTGCTTGGAGCACAGAGCCCCCAGATACCTATCTCCCAAGCTAAAAGATGTTTATAGTTTTATCGTATATTCCTTTAAAGACATTCTGCTTGGTTGATGTTTTATAGGAAGCAGTGATGCAGTGGTTAGCAAAACCGCGTCATGAACCCTATGACCTGAGTTTGATTTCTGACCGCGACGAACATCAGGGGCAAGTGATTTCTGAACCTGTCCTGCGCCCCCTCGCACCCTCTGTACCAACCCACACTGATCACCATGGGGAAGTATGTTCCAACAAACCTTCATGACCGACATGACATGTGGAGGCCCTCATGTATGAGTGGATTGGCAAATTATTATATTTGTTATTACATTTCACTACATTTAACCTCCTCCAACACACATCCAGTCAGCGTGGAAGAGTAGGCCAAATATTCTCTTGATTTTGCTCTTGTGAAGTCACTTCCTCCAGCACTGGCGTGAGCAAGCACTTGCGTGGCTATATCTTTAACTTATTTGCGCGACATTTTGTACTGGTGCTGACAAGAGCCTTTTTCTAAACAGCAGGTGATGCTCTTGAGTTGGTTTCCATAGAATGGAAGTCTGGTAAATCTCATTAACAGTGCTGTTGTGCGTTAATAATGTGGTTCTTTAATTATGTGTGGTGAAGGAATAAGCATACAGTGAGGGAAAAAAGTATTTGATCCCCTGCTGATTTTGTACGTTTGCCCACTGACAAAGAAATTATCAGTCTATAATTTTAATGGTAGGTTTATTTGAACAGTGAGAGACAAGATAACAACAACAAAATCCAGAAAAACGCATGTCAAAAATGTTATACCTTGATTTGCATTTTAATGAGGGAAATAAGTATTTGACCCCCTCTCAATCAGAAAGATTTCTGGCTCCCAGGTGACTTTTATACAGGTAACGAGCTGAGATTAGGAGCACACTCTTAAAGGGAGTGCTCCTAATCTTAACTTGTTACCTGTATAAAAGACACCTGTCCACAGAAGCAATCAATCAATCAGATTCCAAACTCTCCACCATGGCCAAGACCAAAGAGCTCTCCAAGGATGTCAGGGACAAGATCGTAGACCTACATAAGGCTGGAATGGGCTACAAGACCATTGCCAAGCAGCTTGGTGAGAGGGTGACAACAGTTGGTGTGATTATTCGCAAATGGAAGAAACACAAAAGAACTGTCAATCTCCCTCGGCCTGGGGCTCCATGCAAGATCTCACCTCGTGGAGTTGCAATGATCATGAGAACAGTGAGGAATCAGTCCAGAACTACACGGGAGGATCTTGTCAATGATCTCAAGGCAGCTGGGACCATAGTTGCCAAGAAAACAATTGGTAACACACTACGCCGTGAAGGACTAAAATCCTGCAGCGCCCGCAAGGTCCCCCTGCTCAAGAAAGCACATATACATGCCCGTCTGAAGTTTGCCAATGAACATCTGAATGATTCAGAGGACAACTGGGTGAAAGTGTTGTGGTCAGATGAGAACAAAATGGAGCTCTTTGGCATCAACTCAACTCGCCGTGTTTGGAGGAGGAGGAATGCTGCCTATGACCCCAAGAACACCATCTCCACCGTCAAACATGGAGGTGGAAACATTATGCTTTGGGGGTGTTTTTCTGCTAAGGGGACAGGACAACTTCACCGCATCAAAGGGACGATGGACGGGGCCTTGTACCGTCAAATCTTGGGTGAGAACCTCCTTCCCTCAGCCAGGGCATTGAAAATGGGTCGTCGATGGGTATTCCAGCATGACAATAACCCAAAACACACGGCCAAGGCAACAAAGGAGTGGCTCAAGAAGAAGCACATTAAGGTCCTGGAGTGGCCTAGCCAGTCTCCAGACCTTAATCCCATGGAAAATCTGTGGAGGGAGCTGAAGGTTCGAGTTGCCAAACGTCAGCCTCAACATTAATGACTTGGAGAAGATCTGCAAAGAAGAGTGGGACAAAATCTCTCCTGAGATGTATGCAAACCTGGTGGCCAACTACAAGAAACGTCTGACCTCTGATTGCCAATAAGGGTTTTGCCACCAGGTACTAAGTCATGTTTTGCAGAGGGGTCAAATACTTATTTCCCTCATTAAAATGCAAATCAATGTATAACATTTTTGACATGCGTTTTTCTAGATTTTGTTGTTGTTATCTTGTCTCTCACTGTTCAAATAAACCTACCATTAAAATTATAGACTGATAATTTCTTTGTCAGTGGGCAAAAATCTTCTTAATCTCGATTCAGACAAGAAAAGGATGGCGGAGTGTTGGTCCGGGGAGGGAGGGCATTGGGGGGGGGGGTGGAGGAGGGAGCAGATGTTTTTTTTTGTAAAATGAAAAGAAACGGTAACCGGGGAGGGCTTTTTGAAATGCCGTTGAGTGCAGAAGCAAGCCGGTGCGATGGTCGCAGCCTCGTCCCCGCCGCATAGAGTAATTCCGCTAAATCCTCTCGTTAGCACGACGAGTCTCGACTTGTTGACGTTTAAAGCAGCCTGTTTAAGAGGTTTGTCAAAGGAAACTGCAATTTCCGTTCTGAAGGAATTTGGTGAAGTGCATTGAAAGTAGAACATTTCTTTCAAACGTATTATTAACAAAATGGGGCTTGTTTCTGTAGCAATAACACTTGAAGGTCATTATTTTGTGTGGTTGCTCTGGAAAAGGTTTGCATGAACAATATATTGGGGTGATGTTAAGGTGGTGCTCAAGCGGCGAGCTGGCCGTGTGCTGTGGTGAGCTTTGCCAATTGGCTTTGGCAGTGCTTTTCTGTTCCTATTTTCCCTGGTGAGTGCTTGCTTTGCATTTATTAATGAAAATATATTAAAGAGGGCTCTTGAATGAATGTATGCATTTCCCGATGACTAATTAAGTGATCATTAAATCAGTAAGGCCAAAGTCGGTTCATTTTAGTGAGAATCGTTTGTGAATAAATATTCACCCATTGTTAATGCTCTTAATAATAATAATCATTATAGTTGTAGTATTTTACTTCCTCAAAAAAGTGTCAGCCGAGGCTTAGGAATATTTTTTATAGAAGGGTTTCTGTTTGGTCAAAATGTCACTGAGTTTTTTATGCGTGTGGACGAAAACCATTCATGCAAACCCCCGAGGTTGTCCCACAGCCAAATCCGCAAGCCAAACACTCCAGCCTACTTGCCTCCAATTGCCATGCTACATTGCATAGGTCAAGATATCATCGTGACCAGTGCCGCTTATGGGTGTTGCATCCAAAGTTTCCCATTGGGATTCAATGGGGAAACTTTATGTGCGTATACTTTTCTTGGTCTAAACTTTAGATGGGACTCCTGTAATGAATAATACGACAGCTTGTAGTCTCTTCCTTCCATCAGATTCCTGTTGCATAGTGTACATCTGACCTCCAAGGTCTGTGTCTCTTACAGCATTCCACCATCTGGGATACTTTAAGATGGCCAATTGCCTGAAACGTCAACCTGTTATATGTTTCTCATGTAAGGCCAGTTAGTTTGATATACAACTATAAATGTCTGCCATTTTTTTTCGTATCATATACAATTTACTACTATAATGAGCCAAGAATGTATGTGTGTACCACGCGTGACGTCACTCCACATCGACCAGCCTCCCTCATTAATAATCATGAACAGGTGACGTCCTTCACATGGACACTCCCCCTCCATTAATAATAATTAAACGGGTGACATCACTCCACATGGGGGGGGCGAGGCGCCTCCTCCCCCCTCCTACTCCCTCCTCAGCGTCAACTTATAACCCTCACTACAAAGGCAGAACCCTCACGTCACGCTATCTCCGTAACGCTGTTGAGACATAGAAGTAAAAAGGACGTCGTGATGAACAAGGGATTATAACCTTTAAATGAAATAAGTCTGTGTCACCGCGGCCTTACAAAATGCACACGAATGGATGCAATGAATATCACGTCGTTGTCTGATTTTCGCTTGCAAGTTTCAGATTTACTGCAATACACCCGTCCTTGGACGGGCAAAAGGCTCGTATATAACTGTACATGTGTGGTGGGTAATTGTCAGGCATAATATGCCACCATCACTAATGGAAATATGTAACTCCAGTCAGGGCCTAACAGGGGGCAATAGCGGGTCCGGCCTGTACCAAGTAGGACTGGTGGGTTAGGCAATCTGGAGGGTGGTTAGGAATCGGAGGTGGACACCCCAGGCCCCCCCAGTGGGGGCTGGGGGATTGCACAACAATCTAGGTCCCTCCAGAAGGTTCCAGAGAGTGGGCGTGGCCAGGGGCGGAGTGACCCTGGGAGCCCCATAAAAGCCGGACCCCAGAGCGGCTCCGGCAGTCAGCGTCAAGCCGAAGACCGAAGAGCTCGCCTGAAGACGAGGACCCTGAAGATCCCCGGACCCGACGTCCTTATCAGGGCCGGCTCTGAGTGGGCCAGTGGTCGAGACCCGAGGACCTTGGCTGGGGCGGGTCAGCCTCCTCTAGGTCCCGTTAGCTGGAGGGCTAAGATTAAGTGGTCCCAGTGGCTAGGGCACGTTAGCCCAGAGGCTATACCTCTTCAGGTCGTCGGGTAGAAGGGGCCATTACCCCTTCGTGTTAGGGACCCTGTGTGTTATTGTTAATAAATACGTGTTGCCTCCTAAGAAGACTCCGTCTCCATACAACCCACTACACATGTATATATATCATTGTATGTGTAATTGTAATTATACATGTATATGAAACAAAAAAACTGCCCGACTGCCTTGACATGTTCGCCATCCTTCTGAACCTTCTTCATCCACGCATACCTACTATAATCACCCAGGAATGTCTGTCCTTAACGCTCGTGGCGTCACTTCACATCGACCAGCCCCCCTCATTAATATTCATGAGCAGGTGACATCCTCGAAATGGACACCCCCTCCATTATTACCTACTATAATGAGCCAAGAATGTCTGTGTGCAACGCTCGTGACGGCACTCCACGTCGACCAGCCCCCCTCATTAATAATCATGAGCAGGTGACGTCACTCCACATGGAGCACCCTCCCCCCTCATTAATACTGTAATCATGAGCAGGTGACGTCACTCCACCTCGAAAAGCCCCCCTCATTAATAATCATGAAGAGGTGACGTCTTCCAAATGGACACCCCCCCTCCATTCATAATTATTAGCAGCTGTCGACACTCCGAGGTGCCCCCTCCTCGGCGTCAACTTACAACCCTCACGTCATCACGTGATCTCCGTAACGCTATTGAGACATCAAAGTAAAAAGGACGTCATGATGAACAAGAGATTATAACCTTAAAATGAAATACGTCTGTGTCACCACGCCCTTACAAATTGCACACGAGTTGATGCAATGAATATCACGTCGCGGTCTGATTTTCGCTTGCACGTTTCAGATTTACTGCAATACACCCGTCCTTGGATGGGCAAAAGGCTAGTTATAAAATAATAGGTAAATAGCCCCACCCTTTTCACCGAGGTATTACCTACAAATAATAATTTACAATTGTAAAACGCATTTAATCGGTAGATCCCACCAATGAAAATCAGGAAACGAATAGAAACTGCAGGGTTAACGGCCAGAACTAGGGGGTGAAGACCAATTTAAAGGGGTGAGTTTTCAAAACAGACTTAAAAATAAGGTTAAATTAATTTTGAAGCTGATGGCCTCCGAATTGAAATCACAAATGCGTGTAGTTTTAAAAATGCACAATTTAAGAATTACAATTTTACACAATAGCTATCAAATTAAAATCGATTTGTTTACTTAATGGTTGTGCACAACAGCACGTCTTGTACTGCATGTGAACAATACTACTCAAAAGAAGATGAAATCCTTCACTACCAGCTTAAGAACTGCATGTCTGCAAGTTGCCCACTTCACACCAGACCATGTTTCGGATTTTAACTATGCGCTGTAGATGCTCCAATCGCATAACAAAAACAACTTCGTGCAGATCCTATGGGTAGTAGTGGGAGAATCGTTCCAAGCCATCCTGCTTGGCTGCCTCGTTGTTTAATCTCGACCGTGCTGTGATTGGCCGTGATTTATTTTGGTTTGTCTCAGTGGCGGTATGAGCAGGTGGACGGAAGGGCTGACCGTGGAGAAGCTCTCATCCATGCCCTTCAAGGAGCTTCAGCACTGCCGGTTCCACGGGCTCGAGTGAGTGCAGCAGTCGCGAAAAAAAATAAGTGACCCCTTCTCTCCTGACAAGAGTCACAGAGCCAGCTTCCTCATTAATCCTCCCAGGGCTCGCCAAGTGTCGTGTGCCAAGTGGTTGGGATCTGTCCATATTCTGGCTTCGCACATCTTATATTTTTTTGTTTAATTTAATAAACACTCGCTTTTTTCTCAGTGTTATCCCGGTTGTGCCACTGGCGGCATGTCATTAAACAAAGTTTTTCTTCATATCTCTCTTAGATCACTGCCACCCCTTCCCTGATGTGTTCGAGAATGTCCCATGGAAGCAGATATCACAGAGCTACCTTTAAGATCCCTTAAAGTGACCTTTGCTGCACACAGTAAAGGCCAGCCCTTTCCCACTAGCTCTGCCAATGAGAAAAATATTCGTCTCATGACAGCTCAACTGATATTTTTAATCCTCAGGTGAAATGTAGCAACATTTAAATGTAATCATTGGTGTCTGGGGTGCACTCAAAACCTCACTGCACTGAGAGCCCGTTGTGATCACAGGCAGCCACCGAGATTTGAACCCAAGATTTTAATGGTGCCAGCTTAGCACTCTGACCTCTGAGCCCCCAGACCACCCCTTGTTTAATTGTTTTGACTATATTAACCCAAAGTGTTGTTTTTTAGAATGTGCCTGAATGCACCTAATTAGCAGAGCAGTTTCACATTTTTTCGGTATTAACTAAAAAACATTGCCTGGTTGGCAGAAGTGATACACGCAATGACTTCTCGCTCAGAGTTAAACTTCTCACATGCAGCTCGGATAAAATTAAAGTAGCGCTTCAGTCATTGCTTATCCAGTTATTTTTTAAGCTTACATAGTGGTAAGGGTTACTCCGTAAAGTGCAGGAGGTATTTAAGAGGTGGTGGTCCTGTTCTAAAAAAGCCTCCTCCCATGGGGGCTTTGAAGGCGTCTGAGCAGATCGGGGTATGTATAGTCACTTCCCACCCCCATGCCTTATGACACATTTACAAAGTGTACCCACAAGGACAACTTGCTCCCTTGCCCGCGCATGCATGCAACTGAATAGTGGGCACAGACAACCATGCCCTCTGTCTCCACCTTCACGACTATAACCTGTGCATCGATAGAAGACTTTTAAAAATGAAAATGAGAATTATTAATAAAAAAAATTTAAACACGTTTACTAGGCACAGACTCAAGTGCCCAAAACTGCAGCCATCGGAAAACGGCACGATTTAAAGTTGTAAGAGATGAGAGTGGACACGTCTTTTTTTAATTGAACAAGATTATACGCGTTTGGGAGAAGAGACGATGGTAGGTAATTTCAAAGTGGAGAAGTGGGAGGGAAGAAGCAGAAATAGAAGCGTTGTGACCTGCGGTGTTGGCGGTAGTTGAACAGTGTAGTTGAGACAAAACGGTCCGTGTGGGTAGACCAAGTCCTCAACATAGGTGGTGGAATCAGGGAGTAATGTTTATGGGAACAATAGATGTGGCAGTAGTTATAGAAGAGTGATAAGGAGCTGACTGACCGTCATTGAGCGAGATGCTTGGAGAGTTTGAAATATATGGACTTTTCTGCCAGGTTATATGAAAATTTGCATTTTTAACTCTTGCAGCAAGGAGCACGCACTACCTTGTGTCAGGACGGCTCCAGAAGATGAGATTGCATAATGCCTTCTGAAGTCCCCACAATAATAGAGGCCTCTTTATCCACAATTGCTGAATCGTATTTTTGTCATGTCCCGTGACATTCTTTTAAAAGCCTTCTGGCTAAATATATATTTTTTACCTTCATTGAGCTTTCCTTAACGCTTTATAATAGGCGAACATAACCCGCCCATGGGCTCCATACCCATCGCCCAATTGTACTCGTGCTGGCGTAGTGTTTTTTGGCTGCACTCTGTAACCGGCCGTCCCAGTTAAAAATAAACAACGGAAAGGGTTGGCATGGTCTCACGTGCCCACTCGTACCAGCCAGGCATGCCACGCAGCCAGCGATAAAATTTCTCCGCCCAGTATCACAAAGTGAAATCTTTTTATAATTTTTTTAAACGCCAACAATCAGCAAAAATGTAGTGCCACACTCCACGTTGCCCAGTGCTCATCTTGGTAACTTTTGTCAGGATGAGAAAAGTGTTTTATACAAAAATTACTGAAACAAACTATAACACGTGTTGATGGTGAGGATTGTTTGGTGCAGTACATCCTAAACTTTGTGTAAGCCTGTGGCATTCCACAGTGTTATGATTATAACATAAGGGACGTTGAGCACATTCTTAATCCTACAACTTGTATTGTGAATGCAGTTTTACCTATCACCTATTGATAAATGGTAGTTTATTGGACCGTATACTACGCATTTTTATATCTCTTTTTTAGGGTTATGAGATACCAGGAGAAAACTTGATCTCACTTTATAAGTTAGCATGGCAATGTATACACTTTTTAATTATACAATGGTCTTAAATAAATGTTTTCATTTGAAACAAATACAACAATGAAACACACAGTCAAAGAAGGAATATCATGGATATTCCAGTTTAAAAAAAAAATAATAATAGTCCGGTAATAGGTTAGCCACAGCTGTTTCGAGTGTAGGTCGGGTTTATGTGTTGAGCTTAACACTAAGCTGAGGATTGAGTTGAAGTTTTGTTTCTGCATTGGCCACCGTAGGGTGCGTGAGCCACACTTACATACAAAAGAGGAATATTTTTCCGTATAGCCTTTTACAGACTGATCGGGAAAGTACTGTTTGTGAACAACTATTCAGGCCAGCACGATACGCAACAGTGTGGTGTGGCGAGCACCACGTCCGATCGCCTTTATCTCCCATATTCTGGTGTTGATACAACGCACTGGATACTCATTTAAGGCTGAGTTGACATAGGGGAGGCCCAGGACAAGTTAAGATATTACTCGCCATTGATGTTAGCCATGACCAGGAATTGAACTTGGGTTGCTGTGTTCCTGACAATACCGACACAAGTGTGAATTTTGTAACCAAAAATAAGACCGGTTTATTTTGCAAGGGAGACCTGTTGTGTAAAATAAGGAATGTTAAGTATATTTCAGTAGGAAGCGAGCCATACAGTGATAAAAAACACATTAACCTTTGACAACAAAGTAGATACAGTAGGCATACTGTGTTAAAGAACAATCAGAATAACACTTAAATTTATATATTTCATACAAACATACCCTATACAGTGGTACCCCGGAGATCGAACTTAACTCGTTCCAGAAGGCCATTCGAACACCGATTTGTTCGAACACCGAATTAATATTCCCTAATGACATTAATTGGTTCCAGACACAAAAGGAATCTCTCATTATAAAGCATTTTTATTCGAAGTTTACAGTAATTACATGCATAAAATCATACAAGAAACACGATAAATAAATTAATAAAATACATGGAATAAATGAAATAAATGAACATTGAACTTCACTTTACCTGTAATAAGGAGAGTTGATGGCTTGAGTGGAAGATGGTGAGGAGGAGGTGGTGGTGGTGTTATTGTTTGTAAGGGGAGTCCCCTTTGTCTGGGCAAGCGTCATGCACGCCGGCCATACGCGTCTCAGCCGTGTACAGGTTCTTTCAAGTCGCGATTGCCTGTTCGACCTCCGTATTTCGTTCGGTTTCCGGGGCAAAAAAATGTTAGAAAATATCGTTCGAACACCGATTTGTTCGAGTTCTGGTGCGTTCGATCTCCGAGGTTCTACTGTATATTGAATTATCAGAGCTGGAGTTTACCTAAATTAAACACGGTAGCATATTTCTTACTTGCTATTATTGGCGACCAAGTTGAGTCCATCATCAACTCTGGACACTTGAGAACTTCAGTCAACTTACAACTCATTCGGTGTAATTCTATGGGACTCTTATGTGAATCGGGCTGGAACCATCAACTTGCTAAAATTGAGAACCCGGTTTAAGTACGGGCAGCTGAAACACAAATGAGATACAAAGATCCCACTGGTGGTGCCAGCTCGGCCCTCTGACCTCTGAGCCACACGGTCACCTCATTACACCTGACCCAGTTAAGTTAAAACATCCCTTCGCTAATTGGCCGCTGGTTTCCGCATCTCCACGGTTCTCCATTCCAGCTATTGCCTGGACAGCAAGCGGTCACTGCAGGTCGACCGCACACTGGCTCTGCTGCAGTCACGCTACGTCCGGCACGAGACGCGATCGCCGTGCGGCCTCGGCGGAGACATCGCTTACTCCGTCGCCGCCACTGCTGCATCGTCGCCAGCGCCGTCGCCTGCTCCGTCGCCGGCGCCCGGTGCCCCGGAAGCTGGCAGTAGCAGCAGCGTTCTGGACGGCGAGAGGTTGCGTAAGCGAGGCAGGGGGGCGGCTGAGCCGCCTGGAATCGGCAGGAGGTGAGAGCACTAGGCGTGGAGTGGCCACGTCGGTTTAATCGATTGCCCTAGGTTCTTGTGATTGAATATCGCTTGTGTGAATTTATGCGAATCTTAAGCTAATGGCCCTTGACCAAATCACCTGGAATGCACACAACCTTGACAGATCTCGGAAGCTAAGACTGTTTGAGCCTGGCTTGTGATTAAATTGAAGATTAGCGTGCCTTACTGCTATTGGAGGTTGTGTATGTATGCTGAACTTCTTTCACACCGTATGTAGTCAACTGTGTGAATCAGAGGTGCGAGGGAAGGACAGCAAACGAAACACAAAAATACGTTTTAAAGAAATGAGTTTTCAGTCTAGATTTAAAAGTGCATAGCTCTAGTGAGTTCCTAATATCGGGAAGGAAGAGCATTCCAGACAGCCACAGAAGTGCATCTGAAAGTGCGCGATGCAGTGACCATCTTTGTTTAATGGCTGGCTAAAAGCCGCTGCGAGGATGGCCGGAGTTTGTGTGATTGTTTGTTCCTTGACAAGATCAGCAAGGTAATGTGGTTCATTTGTGGCAAGCAATTTGTCTGTAATGAGTGCGAACATTTCATGTGGCGCTACATTGTGGGCAATACAGCAAAATACATGATTATACTGTATATATATGTCCATATCCATGATCTGCCTTCACTCATCCACACAGACCAGAATGGTGAAGTATGGTCAAAGAACCACAATGACCTTCGCGGCATTGGAAGTTCGTCATCTTTTCAAGTTGTCCTAAATACATATAAACACGTTTACCATCATCATGGGACCCACTTTGTCAGTACCAAAATATGAGAATAGGTTTTCCCCTTTTTTCTGGCAACAAACAGGTGTTAAGATATTAGAACATCAGACTGAAACCTTTTACAAGGAATCATGTCTGCATTAACCACGCCTTTTGGCGTCCTCTGGTCTAACAACGTTTTGAGACGAGGCTCAAAATGAAAGCTGTCTCTGGTGTGGACCAATCAGTTTCAAAGACAATGCATCTATATTATCAGAGTTATGTTTTTTGTTTGCATTCTGACCACAAGTATTGTGGTCAATGCAGACATGATTCCTTGTAAAAGGTTTCAGTTTGGTGTTCTAATATCTTAACACCTGTTTGTTGCCAGAAAAAAGGGGAAAACCTATTCTCACGTTTACCATCCTGCCCCCCATTCTATGCCATTGATTCTATAAAAGGAGGTTGTGCTGCTAACTGACATTCAATATGTGGTCAATGTCAGTGATGCTATTCTTGATTAGTAACATCAACATTATTACTCTTTGTAACTATTCGGTAACGTCACGTAGGTAAAAAATAAAACAACAAAAATCACGACGTTTCGGCCACAACACAAGCGGCCTTCATCAGGTGAAGGGATCAGGCTGTCTCGAGGACAGCGCTGGAGTGAAACACAGCCATGCTCAGACCGCGGACCTTTAAGCTGTGTGCGAGGAAACAAGGTGCTTGACAAAGGAATTAGCATAACAAATAGCATTTGATTGGCCGACTTAGCATAGAGGTGGTGTACGTGCGGGTGGACTTGCCGTTTGGTGCGGGGGGGGGGGGGAGGGGGAGTTTACCTATTGATGGTGTGAAAAGGGAATTTATAAGAGCTGCGAAAGTTTGGGGTACCACTACTTGAAAAATATACTGTTGAAATTAGTTTAATGTTTAGTTCGATTTAGAACATCTTTCCAATGGTTGCTTAATTTGAAACCATCTTCTCGGTTGAAATTGTGTCTGTGTTTGTAGATCTGAATTGCCTCGTGAACAAATCTCTGATAAAAACCCGTGGGGTTTGCAAAGAACCTTGGTATCGGAGAAAATTATATTGTGATCACCCACAGCGTTGTAACAGTGATCAGCCACGGCAGAAGAATTCGTTTTGCCGTGTTTGAAATTTGATTTGTGCTCGCGAATTCGGTCAGAGACATGTCGCTTTGTCTCACCGATATAGCAATCACCGCAGGTACAACTCAATTTGTAAACCCCGGGGTACTGTAAGTCAGGAATGACATCCTTCACAGATGGGATCAGATCACGAATTTTGTGTACTGTATTGAACCGGACCAGAATCTTATGTTTGTTTAGAATTTTGGAAATCTTTTTAGTAACGCCTGCTATATATGGTAGTGTGATGGTTTTGACCGGAGTATCAAGTGGTTGTTTCTGTATGGAGGGAGAAACAGCTTGGCGGATGGTACGGTCAGAGTATCCATTCCTTTTGAGGGCCAGGTGTACATGTTTTAATTCACTGGTCAGGTGGTGTTGGTCCGAAATGCAATGAGCCCTATGGTATAAAGTTTTGATGAGAGAATTCTTTTGGGCTGGATTTTCGGATGGATCCTTGCAGTCACGAAAGCTTTAAATCTAGAATCAACATTATTGTTGTTCATACTGTTTATGAAGATTACATTCTTCGTTTTCTCGCTTCAGCGGCAGGATGCTGCGCTCGGAGAGTGGTGAGTCGCTCAGCTCCTGGTCGTCCCTGCGTTACAGCGCCTCCGTCGATAGCAACAGCAGCAGTGGTGGTGGCGGCAGCATGGCCGCCCCCGTCAAGTGCCGACCCCCAGGGCCCTCGCGGGACACGCCACCTACAGACGGCACACCGTCGCTCCCACGCCACACGGTGCCACATTTCAGTTCAATAACTACTCGTATGTTGAACTTTTTTCGCACTGTACATAGCTAACTGTACTTATCAGAGGTGCAGGGGTAGGACAGCAAACTAAACAAAAAAAGCAGTTCTCAGGAAATTAGTTTTCAATCTGGATTTAAAAGTGCATGGCTCCAGTGGCTTCCTAATATCGGAAGGAAGAGCCCTCCAGATGGTCGCAGAAGCACATCTAAAAGCGTGAGATGCAGTGACCGTCTTTGTTTGATGGTTATCCAAAAGCTGCTGCGAGGATGACTAGAGTTTGCATGATGGTTTATGTTCCTTGACGAGATGAGCAAGGTACTGAGGTTCATTTGTGGCATGCCCTTTGTGTGTAATGAGTCCGGCCTTATAATGTATTGTTCAGCATCCGGTAGCCAATGCAGTTCAATGAGTCCCGGACGGACACTGTCGGATCTTGCGGGTACCCGTTATGACATGTGCCAAATTATTTTGCACAAGTTTCAGCCCTCTAATGTTTTTTTCCAGACATCCCGTAGAGTCGTGAGTTGCAATAATCGAGCCTTGTCGACACATTGCTATACGCCACCGTGTTGGCATGCAGCATATCGTCCAGATGAATTAAATATTCCACATGGCAGTGCCATTTGTTGGATGTAAAACTTAACTGGTGCCAACATGTAAGTAGTTTACATGCATATTAAATGGAGGATCGTGGGTAACGTAATTTAAACAGCAAACTGACACCGGTTTGTTTCGCTATGTAAAACGTGACAAGACAAATATTTGAGTAAACGAGTTATAGTCTTAGGATTCCTACTAACACAACTGCTGCTGAAAACATCCTTCCAAAAAGCCCATGGGTTGATGGACAAAATTTTTATTTTAAACCTCATTTGATTAACATTATTAATGAATTAAATAACTAATTTAGGATTAAATCATCTACATTAAGGTTTTCGGCTACGTGAAAATGTTATTGGAAAAGGTCGGCCAGTGCCACGTTGAACGTCTTCCCCGTTTCTAATTTTGGTCCTCCACAAATTCCAGGAACAGGTGCACGATGAGAAGCAAGCGCAAGCATCTGAGAAAGGTCAGAGGTTGCGCGACTCGAGTTCAGACGGAGCCTCCAAGAGACCCAAGGAGTCTCGCTTGCAGAAACACAACCGGGTGAGCAGCAGCAGCAGCAGCTCCTCGGCGAGCCGGAGTTCGCTCCCCCGCTTTGCCAGTATGCCACGGCGCGGACTGCGGCTCTGTCGAGCCTCGGAACACCGTGCCCCGCCTGGCTTTGTTGATGCACCCTCGCCCAAATCTAGCTTTTGTCGTTTACTTAATCTGCATATTCTCAACAACAGCTTACTTTCGGGAACATTATATGTTGTGCGTTCACCTAACTCCTGCAGCCATAGAGGCGTCATGTAACATTTTCTTTTTTAAGAAACCACTTTTTAATAAAAGTGTGACTTTGGATCGTGACTCGTTGCAATGGGGGTGAATTGTTATACGCCTTGTGTGTCGCACTCATTGCACACAAAGTGCTTGCCACAAATGAACCACAATACCTTGCTGATCTCATCAAGGAGCATAAACCATCACGCGAACACCGGTCATCCTCGCAGCGGCTTTTGGCGAGCCATCAAACAAAGATGGTTCAGTGCATTGCGCGCTTTCAAATGCGCTTCTGTGGCCGTCTGGAATGCTCTTCCGATATTAGGAATCCACTGGACCTATGCACTTTAAAATCTTGTTGTCCTTCCCCCACACCTCTGATTAGCACGGTTGTCTATGTACAATGCGAAAGAAGTTCAACGTACATACATGAATGAATGTATGAATAAGCTGGCGTCCCAACGAACACGGCAGTTGCGTTTTTGCAACTCAGCCGCGGCAACGTTAGTTGCGCAGTAATCGTGTAGCGTAACCCAAAAGAGTCTCTGCGGCCCCTCCCTCGCTCCTAGATGCTGCTTGACGTTGTCTCTCGCGCCGTCGAGGATCACGGCATCGCCCTCGGGCACCCGTGCTACAACGCTTGCAGCAAACGCCTCTTCCAGATCTCAAAATTGTACCTCAAGGTGAGTGTGAGGGCTCCACTGGATCTCCACCGTCGTAGCCATTGGTAGCGAGACGTTAATTACCTCGCCTGGTATACAGGAGGTCGCGAGTTTGATCCCAACCCTGACACCTGGACATTTGGAGGTTGCATGTCCCTGTCTCCCCACGGTCGCGTCGATTTTTTCTTCAGGTCCTCTGGTTTCCCCCCCCCCCCACATTTAGAATGAACATGCGTTTTAGAGTATTTGGCTGCTAGAAATGTTCACGTCATAAGCCACTTCATTGAGCTGTCATTTGTGATACCCAGGTTGCTTATGAAAAAAAGCTATATAGCTCAGTGGGCCTTACCTGATAAAATAAAAAATTGTTTAGTTTAGTCACTGCGCCGTGAACACAGTGGTACGAGTTCGATTCCCCGATCATACTAATATCAGGTGCGATTATTTGATCTGGCCCCGAGTAGGTTTACTCGGCCGTGAATGAGTACCTGCTGTGGTGTGTAAATGTCAGTGCTGTCGAGACAAAGGTGGCCGTGCATGGTGCTGTCCACACCACTGATTTTGATGGAATAGATCATTTCATGCCAAGCATCTACAAAAGATGTCTGTAGGGTTGCATTCTTGGGTTGCAAAATGCACTTAAGGGACAAAATGTGGCAAAGTGGGGTATCACACCGCACTATAAACCCAGCAACCCGAGTTCAATTCCCGGCCACGGCTAACAGCGGGCCAGTGATAGACATGTCATCTGCCCCTGTCACAAACCCCACACTTCCTAGCATTGTGAAGTATGGTCAAACTTTCCCCGGGACTGGCATAGCATTGGAAGATCTTACAGCAGTGGCTCAAAAAAAGGGCTGTAAATTATTATTCTTATTAAATATTTGAGAGTGAATGTGCATTGAGAGAGCTAACGAGATTGTATGAAGGTTCGTTTTGCTCCCTTCCTCCTGGGCAGGATCTGACCACGTCAAGAGGTCTACACGAAGAGATGATCAAGGCGGCCAAAAACAATGTCCAGCAGGTACGCATGTCCCTTCTCCGCCTCCTCCTTGGGGCTCCATAGGCAGGTGACATTGCATCGATTCATCATCAATTAAAATCGACTCTTACGCTCGAATTATGCTTCGTGAGAAAAGTTTTGAGTCGGCGTAGATTAACGTCTGCGACCCAAGGTAGGAAATTTGACCTTGAGAATTGGAACAAAAAGTCGAAACGTGCGCATAGAAGCGTTGAGAGATACGCACTCACACTGAGCAGTACAAAATATGAGAGAACGAACAAAAGTTAGATTCACTAAATGTTTGTAAAATCTAATTTTTACGCACGATTCGGTGCGTGTGTTATGAACGGTGGCATCCATTTTCATAAACGAATCCAATTTTTATTTTATTAACGCTGCTGCTGGACCCAGTGGCATGAACCTTTTTTACAGGCCAACTGAAGTTTAAAAAATAGCGTCCAGTAAAGGCTCGTCTGTAAGATTGACCTAAGCTTTCGCTTCGAGCACTGCTGCAGAAATAAGTGGTTGTGTGTTGTGAGCTTGTTTGTGTGCATTATGTAATGAAATCCATCTTTCATAGTTGAGCACAATTGGTCCACTGTGACTTTTACATCTGCTTCATTGGCGGCGACCAGTGGTCGATTATTGTGCAGCAACGTAGAAAAGTTTACGCTGTGCCAGATTTTCACGCGGCATACAAATACAATGTGTGGCTTCTAAATGCGACCATATGTCAAGACGCTGTGCAGAAGCAGAGGAGTTCTCAAGAGGTGGTCAGTCACGGGCAGAGGAGATCAAAAAAAGGTCTTGAGCCAAGACTTGAAGAGAGGCAGGCATTCGACAGTTGGAGGACCGGAGTTCCAGCCTTTGGAGGCAGCTGAGGAGAACAAGAAACCTCCCATAGAGCAAAAGGCTAACTGGGGACTCAGACAAAAGATAATTGCTTTACTTTAGCAGACAGTGAATGGAAGGGAGTAGAGTGAGATAAGAGGGGAGACGTGGGAGAGTGCATGCAAGGGAGTAGTGAGATGAGAGGGGAGAGGTAGGAGAGTGCATGGAGAGGAGTAGAGTGAGATGAGAGGGGAGAGGTGGGAGAGTGCATGGAGAGGAGTAGAGTGAGATGAGAGGGGAGAGGTGGGAGAGTGCATGGAGAGGAGTAGAGTGAGATGAGAGGGGAGAGGTGGGAGAGTGCGTGGAGGGGAGTGGAGTGAGATGAGGTGGGAGAGTGCATGGAGGGGAGTGGAGTGAGATAAGAGGGGAGAGGTAGGGGAGTGCATGGAGAGGAGTAGAGTGAGATGAGAGGAGAGAGGTAGGAGAGTGCATGGAGGGGAGTAGAGTGAGATGAAAGGGGAGAGGTGGGAAAGTGCATGGAGAGGAGTAGAGTGAGATGAGAGGGGAGAGATAGAAGTCTGCATGGAGTGGAGTGGAGTGAGATGAGAGGGGAGAAGTGGGAGAGTGTGTGCAGGGGAGTGGAGTGAGATGAGAGGGAGAGGTAGGAGAGTGCATGGAGGAGAGTGAGATAAGAAGTGAGAGGTTGGCTTGGACAAGTCCATGGATGATCTTGAAGATGGAGGGTGCGGTTTTGAAATAGGATCAACACATTTTTTGTTAAAACGTTGATGAAAATATCATGTTTAATATGCAATGCACTTTTGGAAATGTTTCCAATGTTACGCTATTTTAAGCTGCTTACAAATAACACAGCTGTTGGGACGTAGTGTTGAAGTGACTTGGGCGACAATGCCAAAACGGTTTGGTAATAATTTATCTCTTTCACAAACAGGTGGTGGAGTGGGTTCTGGAGAAAAATGCCAAAAAATAATGCGATTTTCGTCTGCTACTCTGAAAAAACCCATCATCAAGCCATGAAACAGCCACACCTGAATGAAGGACTTCCCAAGCCATCAAAATGAAATCCTGCCCTGCAACGTTTGACAGTCTACTTTTACAATTGACCCTGGAGGTGTTCTGAAGCTTCTAACGTCTCCTTGAGATGCTCCGTAGAATGTTCAGCGTGGTTTTACGCACTCTTATGTTTCTAAAAAGTTGGTCGCATCTGTGCTCGCGACCTTTTATAGAATTAGCGAAGCACCCGTGCCGGTCTGTGGCACCCTCGTGATATTGTAAGTTTTACTTCTTCCGTGGTAAGTTGTGAACCAGACACCCTCATCAAAGATGGGGTGTGTTGCTTATTTTTACACAGCTAGTTCCACTGTTGTTTTAACTGGCACTGTGCTACGCAACGTGGGCAAGCAGAAACGGCTTGAGATTCCTTGTGTTAACATTGTTTCGGTGTGAGCTTTTAACTGAAATCTTCGAATTTTTTTACATGTGTTTTTATTGTACTGCCGTTTTGCGGTATTGTTCAAAGAATGTTTATCCCGCTAACTTTTGTTTCTTAAACGGACTGTTTTGCCATATTTAAGCTTACATTTTGGAAATAAAGCCGCTGAAATATAATATTGAATGAGCATGTGTCTAAAAAATAGAACTTTGAAAAATATTTTTCAAATGTATTTTATTAAATCTTGACTTAAAGCTTTCGTGACTGCAGGAATTCATATTCTTTGGGTCTTTCGGTAAAGTCACGTAGATAGGTTCAAATTAATAATAAATATAAAATAAACAATAAACTACGACGTTTCGATCACAACACAAGCGATCGTCATCCTGATGATTTTATATTCATTAGTCTTTGGTTCTTTCTGGAAAATGAACGTCGGTATAAATTAAATCACAATGTTTCGGGTGCAATACAAGCATTCGTCATCAGGTGGGACAACCGCAGCAAGAAACAATTGCTGAAGTGGATGGATGCGTGTGTTGCACCCGAAACGTCGTGATTTATTTTATTTTCTACCTACGTGACTCTACCGAAAGAACCAAAGAGTATGGATCCCTGCAGTCACGAAAACTTCAAATCTAGATTTATATTTTTATTTATTTTAAATTTGTACCTATCTACGTGATTTTACCGAAAGACCCAAAGAATATGTATTTGATTAACTTTATTTGTAGCCGATTACGTGGGCCCCTTGAAAAATTCTGCCTCCAGAAGGCAGGAAAGCCCCGACAAGTTGAGCCAAGCATGATGGGGCTGATATTGCCGATGACATTGCCGACACGTGGAAACGGTGAGACTTTCCCCCTCCCTCCAAACTACATTAGTGATTCGAATGGTCGAACAACTGAACGGATTAATCGATAAACGAAGCAAATGACATCATAATCAAACAGCCGTTGGGATAACACAAATGGGCTCTTGATTTGGAAAAAAATGAGCAGGCGTTGCCATCAAAGCATTGTTCAAAGTGACAGCCCCCAACACTGATTGTGTGGCTGTTACTCTATTCAAGAACCACCAATGTCATTGCTCGCACCGTGCAGCCAAAACAAATATTTTTGAAATCGTTAGCCATAATCGTATCCACTGCTGGATGACGACCCTCCCATGCTGTCGCCATTCCCTCAGCCTTGTGGAGGAACAATTCGTCTCGTTCCTGCACACGGAGCTGATTTCATTTCTCCATAGCCACGTCAGATTGCTTCTAGGGCATGTTTGCTCCGGCCAGCATCCCCCCCAACTCCTTTCGTGCTGCAACTTGCCCTAGCACGCTCACTTTTGACTAACAGACGATTCACGCACGTCATTGACAATGAAAGTGGAGCCGTGTACGAAGAAATGTGTAGAGGTGCATGCTTGGAGACAATGGACAGGAACGTTTGTAAGTATGTATCGATATTTATTGTTTATTTATTTCCCCTTACACATTGCAGCACAGGTTAAGGCACTTTTAACACAAGCAGCGTATAATTATGGATGTTACACGTTTGACAATCATTTTTAACAACACATTTCCGATAAGTTATGGGTTGCAATTTTACGTCAGGCCTGTGGTATTTCATCAGTCACTTTCATGATTCTTCGCTAAATTTAATTTTGCTGACGGATTGGCAGCATCGTTAAGCCTCGAATGTTTTTACCCGGACGGTATTGTCATTTGAAAACCAAATCAGATTTAATTCGTGTTTTTAGATGGGTGTCAAACAAAGTTCGAGTCGCTTCCCTAGCAAATGCGTGCGATGGGACGTCGTCGCGTGTGGCCACACACCGCAGATCCGGCACATTGTGAGTGTGCTGCATCAGTGCTCCACGTAAGGTTATGCCAATTTTCTTCTTTCGTATGGCAGGAGGGAAAGGCAAGAGTTTTGAAATATCTTTAAGGTTGAATGCTAATGTTCTTTTAACCAATCCAGTGCCAAGAAAAAGTCGTGAATACACGTTCTGCCCCCTATTATGTTTGGCAAAAGTCACTTAAGTAGCCGTGCCACGCGAGACATTAAAGTATAATTTTCATACAATAGGTATTTGTAAGTAATGTGTAGGAAACGTGACTCGCTGCCTCAAATATGATCGTTATTAACAATTTACTATGAACATGCATTTACATCACAGACCGTTTCAGTATTTTGTTACGTATACCTTTTTAGTTATTAATCTTGCTATCAAAATTACTTCATTCACTTGCTTGCTTTAACGACGTTACGAATTTGTGCAAGACGCTGCGGCGGCGGTAGCAGCGTTGGAAGGGCCTCGCCAACAAGGAATTTTACTAGCAGCCACGACGGCAAAGTTGGTTCGAGCCTGCGTTTCTCCACCGCTGCCAACGCTGTCCCTGACATTTCATCTTGAGGAAGAGGCCTTGCAATTGAGTCCCCGAAGGTCTAATCGCCAAGGTCTCTGGTTCAGGCAACCCACAACGTATTTGCGCTTCACCACTTCTTAGCTGGCACGTTTTGGGCCAGGGCTTACTTTTAGCCGGGTCTGTCCGGGTCAGTGACCTTTAAAAATATTTCCACGTGCAGTGTGCCTTCTCGCCTATGGCTGTGAGTCCGCATGCTAGTCACGTGCCTACTCCAGTCTACCAAATGGCTCAGAAAATATCCATGGAGAAATGAAGCCACCATCTGGATGACTCTCACCCATATCGCAGACAGGACCTCTTTAGACTTGGGCGCCACGGTGGTGAGACGTTAACTACCTCGGCTGGCAAACAGGAGGTTGCGGATTTGATCCCGGCCCCTGACGAATATAAATTTGTAGTTTGCATGTAACTCCCCGCGGTCACATGGATTTTTCTCTGGGTCCTTAGGTTTTTCCCCTCCACATTTAGAATCATGCGCTTAGAGTATTTGGCTGCTATACATTTCCACGTGATAATAAACCACTTCGTTAAGCCATCATTTGTGGCCAGGTCGCTTCTGAAAATAACTATATAGTTCAGTGGGCCTTACCTGGTCAAATAAAAAATGTTTCACTTAAATTGGGGACAGTTTTAGGTAGTTGGTCACTGCATGGACCACTGCAGTTCACTTTTGTAATACTTGCACTTGAGCAAATAAATAAGATTGTAGTTAATTTGGCACAGACTAGGGGATACAATGAATATATATTATAATCGTTTTTAAATACATACTTTAGATATCTAAGAGGTAAAGTTAAACTTTTTTTTATTACACTGCAACCTACATTTCAGCTTAAGCTGAATTCATGCAGCTTCGGCAAATACAAGTGAAAGAAAATACGAATCATTATTCGTAAAATTTTCTCATGTAACGGATTATTATTTTATTTTCCAAAAAAATGCACTGTAAAAATTGATAACCGAGTGGATTTCTTGTCAAGTTCATGCCATTAAAAAGGAAAAATATTTGCAGCAGCAACAACAAAAATTATAACATTATCTTTCTTAATGATGTAATGTGGTAGGTTTGAACACATTTGCATAGCCCTTTTAAAAGTAAAACAATTAACAGTCATCCATCACAAACTCTAAATTGTATACTTGCGTACCTTGTAAATACCTCTACGCTACTGCCTCTTGCATAGGTATATAATTACACGTCGTTTTCTCTTTTTTTTACACAGTTTATTTACTGTGCACAACTGTGAGCATGGCATTGATGGAAGTTTCTCGTCAACAATTGTGGTCCTCGTTGCATGAATGTAGGCACACTGCTGCTGGAGCAGGCACACACACACATCATTGGATCACACAAAGGTTGAACCGACTTGAGTGAATTTGTTTTAATTTACAACGCTTCCACGTTAACACTCGGGCACCCTTCCTCCACCTTCCCCCACCCCCCCAAAACCGTGTACAATGCCGGTGTTTGCATTGACCCGTCTGGCGTAAAGCGCTAAACGCGAGGTCGCATTTACAGCCGCCAACACCCCCCCCCTTCTCTTTGTGCTCCTCGCAATGCATTGTGGGTGTCCCCAAGGAAGCCCAACGCCCCTGGAAATAACTTCACCGTAACGAGGGCGCCGATTCGCTCAAAATTGATACAAAGCGAGCAACTTCGTCGACGTCGGTCGGCTTGGCGCTCGCTCACACGCGCGCTCGCTCACACGCGCGCGCGCCGTTCTCCCGGTGACCTCACGCTTCATCCCGAAAGTTCGTCGTTATCCCTGCGCGCTTCTCGAGTGCGTGCGAGGTGACGTCGCGTGCGGCTTCACGCGAACAGGCCGAGCCGCGTCACCTTGGCGGAGAGGAAGGAGTGGAGGATGAACACCACGGGCTTGGGGCACGAGCGCAGGTCCAGCTGCTGCAGTCGGGGGACAAGCGAACGGGAGCGGCGCAGTCAGCGACACGACACACTGCTGCCTCGAAGCACCCTGCGGGCTATTAGACGCTTCGAATCGTCAATTTAATACTCTGTTAAGCCGCTGCTGTACGAGGGCCTCCTCATGCAGTGTTGGTCAGGGGATTGTTTGACCATACTTCACCATGCTGGTCAGTGCGAGCTGGTGAATGGCGGGGGGGGGGGGGGGGGGGGGGGCGTGGTGCCTAGGACCTGTTCAGATATAACGCTCCACTGATCTTAGCCTTGACCGGGAATCGAACCGAGGTCATCATGTTCATAGCGTCGTGCACTGATATTGCCTCACTCCCATCGATTGAATATCCATTTAATATCCATTATAAAGCTCGCTACGCAAATAGCAGGGGGGTGGGGGGTTGTCGGGAGTCAGGGGCTCACTCACCAGCTCGCCCTCGGGGCCACCGAAGTCGAGGAAGAGGGCGTGGTCCCCGTCGTCGGACGACATGCGCAGGCGCTCGAACGGGTAGCGCAGGATGGGCGTCGGCGCCGCCGCCCCCCCCACCGAGCCTCCCCCGCCATCGCGGCTCAGGCAGAACCCCTCCTCAAAGTGGATGCTCAGCGTGCAGTCGGCGTCCCGCAGCTTGCACGCTGAAGGACCAGGGGGGCGGACACGCGAATCGCTATTGATCGGCTCTCGCGCAAACGATTGGGAAACGCGCTCATTGCGAGTGTAGGAGTGTTTTTTTTTGAGGATGGACGACGTTGATTCGTCGTCTGTGCACGTACCCACGGACACCTCCTTGATGAGCTCGGCGGCAGTGTGGCAGCCCTGCACGACGAGCCGCGTCCACGCC